GTCCAGGTGAAGTGAGCTTGGCGAATGGTGGGAATTCGGCCAAATCTAAGTTCCCAGAAGCCAGCCAAGGGCCAGCCTTGTAAGCAGGCCTTTCGAAGGATAGTGGTCAGGCTTGTCATGCCAACTCTTTTTACACAGTGTTTAAACAAATCAGGGGAGAAGTTGATCAGAAGGGAAGCAGAGGAAACGGAAACCCGGGGGCATAAGTAACGGCAGTGTTCATCTCAGCGCTGTGTGGAGCCGCAGTGTCCCAACCAAGGACTCAGGCCATCTCTGCTGTGGGCAGGAACGTCTCGGCTGCCTCAGCTGCAGGATGCTCCTTAATATCATTCAGCTTGCTCCCTGTGTTTCGTTTACAAGAAATTTCTGATTTATTTTCATTATTTAATTGTCTTGTATTGCTATTATATTTACGATGTTCCCAAATCAAGAAGGCATGTTATTCTTCCCAGTCCCAATTCACTCAGTCACTGTCTCTCCCTTTAATCACTGCTGTTTTTTGTTCATCCTTCTAGAAAAAAAAACTTTTAAATGCATATATAAGCCAAGATATGCCATATAAATGGTAGTCACATGCCATACACAACTGCTCTGTATGGTACTTTTTTCCATTGCCAAAAAATGTTGGAGGTCTGTCTGCATCCATTCATAAAGACTTCTCGTTCATTCCTTGTAGCTGCATAGCATTCTGTTGTATGGTTGTGCCATGATTTGGTCTACGAGTCCCTTGTTGCTGGTCATTTGGTTGTTTCTAACCCTTTACTATTATTAACAATGCTGCAAGGAATAACTTGGGACTTCTTTTACAGGTTTGGGATACAGTGATAGGGCAAGTTCCTAGTTGTGGAATTGCTATGGTAATGGAATATACATTTGAATTCAGTGCAGTCTGCCAAATTGTCTTCTGCATTGTTTGTGCTAATTTATATTCCTACCATCTACATACGCATTTGTTTACCCATATTTTTGCCAAGAGCATATATTTTCAAACTTTTAGAAAAATGCTAAACTAGTAGATTACAATTTGAAATTTAGTGTCTCTTTGATTTTCCTTCCCTTGTCAATAAGGTTCAGCATCGTTCATGCATTTGAACTGATTGTGTTTCCGTTCCTGTGAATTCTCTTGTTGTCTTTCACCAGTTTTTCTACTGGTTTAGCAGACTTGTCCTTACTGATTTGAGAAGTTCTTTCTATGTTAAGGACATTAATCCTTTGTAATGTGAGTTGCAGATATACTTCCCAGAACATCATTTGGCTTTTGATTTAGTTTATGCTGCATTTTACTATGTATGAGGCTTTGATTTTTGTGACTGGGTTGATTAACCATCATCGTAATAGGAAGCTCTTCTAGGTTACAAAAATAACTCTTCTATTTTTCTTTCAACATTTGCATGGTTTAAGTTTTTACATTTAAATCTTTGACATGTTTTATCCTAGTGTGTGGTGTGAAGTATGGGACCAACTTTCTTCTGCACGGCTCTCCACTGTTTCTTGCCAACTAAACCTGTCATCTTCATCGTACACAGTCAGTCCGACTGTTTGCGGACCTCATGCTGGGCTCTCCATTCTCTCTCCTTGGTCTTCTGCCTACTCTCTTGTCAGGGCCACATATATTTTTTCAAAGTTCTCAGTTTCTTTTTTTTCCTTTTTCTTTATTGTTGACACTATCACAGATGTGCCCCGTTCCCCACCCACTCTTGCTGTTGGTCACTGGGGCATCACAGTGTGTTCTAGTAGCTGCTGGGGCTTGTTCCCTCTCTGCTCTTCTTTTGTAGAGTTTTCTGGCTAATCTACTTTCTCCTTATAAACTTAGGGATTTTTTTTTTCAGTTGCAGGGGAAAGATCTGTGGCCATTTTCTGAGGTTGGTTTAAATTTTAATAAATTAGTGTGGCATCCTTAGAATGGCTTCCTCTCTAAGAACATAGTATGCCTTTTCATTTGTTCTAGTCTTTATTTTTATGATTGAAGAGTGTTTTTTTAGTTATTTTTGTTTCTTCCCACTTTTTATTAAGTTTCTTTGTACTTTATTTCTATTTTATTTTTTATAATATTTTACTGATTATGCTATTACATTTGTCCTGTTTTTTCCCCCTGCACCCCCACTCTGCCCAGGACCTCCTGTCCCTCAGACAATCCCCCTACCATTGTTCATGCCCATGGGTCATGTGTATTAAGTTCTTTCACTACTCCATTTCCTGTACTGTACTTTACATCCCCCATGGCTATTCTGTAACTACCTATTTGTACTTTTTAAAAAATATTTTATTTATTTTTAGAGAGAGGGGAAGGGAGGGAGAAAGAGAGGGTGAGAAACATCAGTGTGTGGTTGCCTCTCATGCACCCTGAACTGGGGACCTGGCCTGCAAGCCAGGCATGTGCCCTGACTGGGAATCAAACCGGTGACCCCTTGGCTTGCAGACTGGTGCTCAATCCACTAAACCACACCAGCCAGGGCCTATTTGTACTTCTTAATCCCCTCGCCTCTTCATCCATTCTCCCACACCCCCTCACATCTGGCACCCATCTGATAATTAACTTCTTTTCTCTTGCTGCTTTTAAGATTTTTTCTTTATCTTTAACCCTTTGGTATTTCAATTATGATGTGTCTTGGAGTGGTCTCTTTGCATCCATCTTATTTGGGACTCTCTGTGCTTCCTGAACTTGTGTGTCTATTTCCTTCACCAAATCAGGGAATTTTTCTTTCATTATTTTTTCAGATAGATTTCCAATTTCTTGCTCTTTCTCTTCTCCTTCTGGCACCCCTATGATGTGAATGTTGGGCATCTTGAAGTTTTCCTAGAGGCAACTTATACTGTCCTCATATTTTTGGATTCTTTTTTTCTTGTTATTCTGATTGGTTGTTTTTGTTATGTTCCAAATCACTGATTTGATTCTCAGCTTCATCCACTCTACTGTTGTTTCCATGTAAATTGTTCTTTATTTCAATTAGTGTATCCTTCATTTCTGACTGTATCTTTTTTATGCTGCTGATGTCCTCACTAAGTCCCTTGAGCATCCTTATAACCAGTCTTTTGAACCCTGCATCTCGTAGATTGCTTATCTCCATTTTGTTTAGCTCTTTTTCTGGAGTTCTGATCTGTTCTTTCATTTGGGCCATGTTTCTTTCTCTCTTCATTTTGGCAGCCTCCCTGTGTTTGTTTCTATGTATTAGGCAGAACTGCTTGGACTCTGTGTCTTGGCAGTGTGGCCTATTATAGTAGGTGCCCTGTGGGGTCCAGTGACACAGACTTCCCTATCACCCAAGCTGGGTACTTGAGATGCACCCTTTGTGTGGTCTCAGTACACCCTCCTCTTGTAGTTGAGCCTTGGTTGTTGCTGGCAGATCAATGGGAGGGATTTACCCAGGCCAGTCAGTTGCAACAATTGGCTGTGACCACTGACCATGAACTTCCACACTCTGTGGAGGATCAGCTGTGCAGGGGCAGGATGGTAGTACTCTGATGTGGTCTGTAGCTGTCCATTGGGTGTGCTGGCCCTGGGGATTTCCCAGGTGGTGCAAGCCAAGGTCAGCCTCCACCCGTGTTTTGCCCAGGGCCACCACCCTGCCTGAGCTATGAGGCATCCTTATAACTAGCCATCTCAATGGCTGCTACTTGTGCTGGGCTTGGAGATTCCCAAGTGAAGCCAACCTGTGATCCTAATCTGGCTGCTTGGGTGGGGGGGTGAGAGGGGGGACGGTTGGGGTTCACTGAGGCTGGCTGTTACTTGTTTGAGAGGATTTAGGAAGTTATGAAGCATGAGCCAAGACCAGCCATTCCTATGCAAAAGCAGCTTAGGTGGGCCTGTGAGTTGGATGGGGCAGAGTCTCTGGGAATCTCCAAGGCAGGTCAGTTTAGCCATGTTGATGGAATCTCAGATATGGCACCAGCCTACTGGCTTTGTGTGGGGAGGGTTTAGCAAAGGGACAATGGCCTCTGCTTGCCCTGATGCCTGACACTTCAGTGTCTCCCTGCGTGCCACTGGTGCCTTTCCAGCTGCAACCCCAGGGTTAGAGCTCAGACTCACTCCCTAGAGAGTCTGAGTAGGTGAGTCAGTGTGTGGGTTCTTTCAGAGGAACCGCTTGGGGCTCCAGCAGTGTCTTCTACCAACTCAATCCCCACTGTTTTATCCTGGGCTGGGGGGCCTGGTGTGTGTCTGGGACTCCGAGATATCCCCCCAGAATTTTTATCCACTACACATGGATGTAGGACCAGCCCATTCCACATCTGCACCCCTCCTACCCATCTGGATGGATGTGGTTTCTTTAACTGTGTAGTTGTCAGACTCCATTCAACTCGATTTTTGCTGGTTCTGAGTGATGGTGGTTCTACATTTTAGCTGCAATTTTGATGTGGTTGTGCGAAGAGATGAGCCATGTCTGCCTATGCCGCCCTCTTGCCTGGTGTCCCAAGTTTACTTTTAGTTTTATCTATCTTGTTTTACCAAACAGTTTATAATTTTATTTCCCATGTAGATCTGTCCTTAGGGAAAGGATACCCTTAAAGAATGCAAAGAGTATTTTTTTGTGTGTGTGTGTCAGTTTAATTCTTACATCAACATTCTAGTTTGATACATCAGTCTGTGTGAGCAGTGAATGAGATTCACAGTGAGAGGTGCATCTACTCTTCAGGTTTTAGAGCCAGACCTCAGACCTTAGAAAACTCACCCTCGTGCATACACCCATCAGTGCATGTTGCCCACGGGGTGGCCTCCTGGTAGACGGCCAGATGACCTCCTCCTGTGACCTGTAACACTGCAACAGTATCTATGCCTTTATTTAAAAAATCAATAGTTCACTTAGTGCGAACTATACTATTTTAAGAAAGCCTATTATTTATTCATAGTAGTTATACATGAATAACGGTCTCTTCAGCGGTTGCCGATGTGTCTGCAGCTGCTTATGAGTCAAAGCCCAACCTAAACACTAATGATATGCTTTAGAAAATTACTATCTTTGGTCAAGCCTTTAATGAACGCTTTAAATTCTTGTATGTTACAGAATTTCACAAACTTATTTGGACAGCCACTAGTCTGCTTGCTTTCTCCTACAGCATATCCAAAAGCTTTACAAGGTATGTTCCATCATTACCTCTTCTATCCATAGGTCGCAGATAAACTCTGTCTACATTCTGGGTACTGTTGATCTTTGCTTCCCACCTATAATGATCACGTGCGGACGTATGGTGTTTAATGTAGCACATGTCAGTCTGAAATCAACCAGAAGTCTTGCTACCATTAGGCCTTGAGATAGTTTTCAAAGAAATGGTAAAAGCAGCCCTGAGTCAGGGGTGGTTTCCATTCCTTGCTCTTGGGGAACTTAAAATTTGTGAATTTTAAAGTTTGCTTTGCAGCTGTTTGTTTTCAGAGAGCTTGTTCTCACTGTGTAGCATGATTTCCTGTAATCGCTGGCTACATCTTTTAAGACTGTAAGATTTCTGGTCAAGAAGACTTCTCAGCCTATGCCTGTGAGTTAGGATACCCTAACTGGCACAACTTAAAGGGTTTCTTTTATCTACATTTTTACCTGGTTGTATTTTTTAGATAAAAGAACCTCTTCTCAGTGTGCCGGAGAGACAGGTCAGTGTTCTGGCCATTTCTCAGACGAACAAAAAATGAAAGACTTTCAATAATTTGTCCCTAGTTGGCAACACATGCCATCTGGTTCTGTCGCCCAAGCACTAAGCTAGGTACGATACTGAATGAACCTTAACGCTGTTTCAGCAGTACTTGTCACCAGTTCACTGTCTCCCTGACTGTGAATAGTGCTGATGTCTCTCTGTGGGAGATGGCATTTTACTGCTACTTCCCAGCCAGAAGTCCTGTCTGCTGACATAGTTTGACACACGAAGTGATGGTCAGCATTTGAATGCCTGAGAGAAGCTGGAGACTTGTCACTGTTGTTTTAAGGTAAGTTCTGCTATTTAACAGGGAGAAACACATAGAAATACTAAGTTCCTGTAACCAAAAGTCAAATTACTGAGGGATAGAACTTACCTTCAAACAACGGTAAAATTCTCCTGCTTTGAAGACTTTGTTAACCTGTTGCTCGGGAGAAGGGTAACCCCTTCCAATGACTTGGGAGTACTTTTTGCTGTCAATTGGTCCTCTCAAGGGGGAGCTTCAGTTAAAATTGCATGACGTAATAGGTTAACACCAAGATCATTTGGTCTGCAAGGCTTTATTACACATAGGATGAAAACACAGACTCTGGAGGCAAACCGATTGAACTTGAATTGCAACTCAACCGCTTACTACCTGTGTGACCTTGGATGGCTCCTTGGCCATTCTGTGCTTCAGTATTTCCTATCAAATGAAAATAGTAATAGTATCAGCCTCATAATTCTCAGTATATAATAAGTATTCCTTATGTGCCAGCTATCATTATTAATATGCATAGTTATAATGTATGTCCTTAATATTTTTTAGTCCAGTATCCTATCTTTTGTGCAGTAAAGCTTAGCCCTCTAATCCCTAAATGTTCTCCTTCTGGGCACAAAACCTACAGATATCTAAGTATTTGGATGTCAGATTAGATTCTTATGCCTCTGGTATCTAAAGTCCACAGTTTTCTCCTTACCCAAGAGTTCATTCATTCAACAAATATCTAGTAAACATGTATTTGTCAGGTACAGTGCTTGGCACTGGAGCTAACACTCTGATGAGACAGAGTCGTGTTTCTCGCAGAGCCAGTTGTCCAGCAGAAGATACAGCCAGCCTACCAGACAGTTACCGCAGGGGCCCCTGGTGTCTCAGGAGGAAGCATGTGCAACACTTGAGGAATTCCTAACAGCTTTTGAGAGTGAAGAAAGTTCACGAAATGATGTCTAAAGTGGAGCTGAAGGACATTGTAGAATTATAGAACGTTTAGAGCAATTAAGATAGTTCCTGCTCATTAGAGGGTAGAGTTTAGAATTGTGGGACTGAATTAAGAAAAACCTTTTCTGATTTAAATGGAGGGCAGTGGGGTATCACCAAAGGACTAACAAAAGATTTTAAATGGCGTATCGGGAAAGAGCATTCAGTTAACCTTATGTAAAATGAATTGGACAGGAGCACTGACAGAAATAAAGAGATCCTGGTGGCCAAGGTAGGACAGTGGCTGGTTAGCTGGCTTCAGAAAATACTAGCCGAAGAACCAGCAGGGTGTGGTGATGGGCTTGGCGACGGTGAGGAAATAAGGGAGAGGAAGGAGGCAGGAATGGACTCCAGGTTTCTGGCTGAGGTGCTGATGGAAATAATGATACTGAATAAGAGGTGGATTTGTAAGAAAACAAAAGGGGGAAGATTTGTTGCCAATTTTTGACATGTTGAGTTTAAAGTTACCTTTGAGAGTTAGGTTGAATTTAGTAGTCTAGAGCAACTCTGCAATAGAAATGTAATGGGAGCCACCTATGTAATTGTAAGTTTTCTAGTAGCCATGTTTTTTAAAAAGTAGAAAATAACCGGTGAAATTAATGTTAAAAATGTACCTTTTAAGCCCTGGCTGGTGTGGCTCAGTGGATTGAGTGCCAGCCTACAAACCAAAGGGTCACCAGTTTGATTCCAGTCTGGCACATGCCTGGGTTGCAGGCCAGGTCCCCTGCAGAGGATGTGCAAGAGGAAACCACACACTGACGTTTCTCTCTCTCTTTCTCCTTCCCCTCTCTCTATAAATAAAGAAGTAAAATCTTTAAAATAAAAAAATCCCATGTGTCTTTTTGTACTCTTGCTTTGAAATCTCATGTACATTTTACACTTCTCAGTGTCTCAATTTGGACCAGTCACATTTTAAGTTCTTTTTAGGTTCTTCGAGACAGCACAGTTCTAGACCTAAGGAGCTCAATCTAGGCTGCAGATAGAGAATTGGGAATCAGTAGGCATACAAATGATAATCAAAATTATGGGAGTAGGTGAGATCGGCAATGTATCAGGCCAAAGAAAGGAAGGGTTGATATTGAAGGGAGAAGTGGAAAAAGAGCAACTAACAAAAGAGTGAAAAAGACTGGCAATCCTAGTACTCACCAGAGAATTCTGTCATGAATTGCCTGTGAGCCAGACCTTGCTGTCTTTGAATAAGATCTGTGAGTTGGAGGGGAAACGGCAAAGGAATATGTTCATGTTCTCTTTCTCTTTAGTTTACTAGGCTCTAAAGTTTGTTCAGCAGAAATCAAGGTACCTGGAATATGATTTTGCAGTTTCTTGCAGAATCTACTCTGTTGAATTATGATTTAATGATACAGCTTTAATTTTACACATCATCAGCATATTAAAATGTTCATCAAATGCATCCTTATCTTTTACGAAAGTGTTTTCTACGTATGTATGTATATGTATATATAAAACATGTTTGTTATTACAGATCAATCTCAACGAGGTAGCCTCTTCACTCTCTTTTTGAACAATCCTCTAATGGCCTTCCTATTTGTCTCTGGATTGTCAAGCATGCGTAGAGGCCTGTGGGAAAAGTGTCAAGAATATCTTCGAAAAATCAACCGCGACATTGCCCAGCTACTGACGCATTCACGTTCAATAGGTACCCTACTAATCTAATGGCACATCTAACAGAACGTACTCTAATGGTTTAAAAATTTTTTTAAATCATTGAAATTGTTTGAATTTTTAAAGGTATTTGTTGAAGGCAGGAAATTTGAGAAGGTGTTCCTGAACTTTTCTTCCCCTTGGAAATGTGCTTTTCCCTGTAAGTTTCATTTTACTGTCGTCTCTCTCCTCTTTGCAGACCAGGCGTTCCTGCAGTTCTTCGGAGATGAATTTCTCCGCTTGCTTCTCACAAGATTTGTCTTTTGCTCAGCCACCATGAGGATGCACAAGATTTTTCGGGTAGGCAAAGAATATTTTAATGACCAATTTTACCATGTTAGGTATTTAAGAAACATATTATATTTTACCTGGATTAAATAAAGTCTGAATAGATCTAAAATCCTATTGACAAATTGTATTTGTTGTACTTAAAGTATTAAAGATGGACAAAATAAGGCATATCTAATTACCTGCCACTTAATTTAAGAGGTAGAACATTTCCATTGCCTCTGAGGCCCCTTGTGGGTCCTCCGTAATCCTGTTTCCCTTTCAGCTGAAACCTAAATCCTGATTTTCACAACTATCATTCACTGTTTGTTAAAGTTTTGCCACATGTACTTGTATTCCTACACAACAGATCAATGGATCCATATTTTATGTATTTTACAACTTGCTTTTTTCACTCCCTGTTGTATTTCTGAGATTGAGCCATGTTGATGACTGACTATAGCTTTTACTCATTCGTTTTCACTGCTGTATAGGATTTTATTATTTGACTATGTAGCACAAATTACTCATCTAGTTACTGATAATGGACATTTGGGTTGTTTCCAGTTTTTCATTATAATATACATTGCCACTGTGAAATCTTCTATCAGTTTCCTGCATTTAATGTAGTAAAACAAAAATTTGGTCTTTGTGCCCTGGCTGGTGTACTCAGTAGATTGAGCTCGGGCCTGCAAACCAAAGGTGTGCTGGTTCAATCCCCAGTCAGGGCACATGCCTGGTTGTGGGCCAGGTCCTCAGTAGGGGACACATGAGAGGCAACCACACATTGAGTTTCTCTCCCTCTCTTTCTCCTTCCCTTCCCCACCTCTAAAAAAATAAATAAAATCTTTTTAAAAATTTGGTCTTTGTAAGTGTAATGAGTGAGGCCTACAAGAATAAGAGAGATAGAAATGACATTTGGCTATATCAGCTGTCATGTGAAATGCATAGAAAAATAATAACTTGTTTCTTCTGGAAATTTTAAATGTGTGGCAAAATTATGGTTTATAGAAATGGCCAAATGAGAATTAACGGGGTTTTGAAATTGTCTTTTTCTTTTGCTGTCCTATAATTATACAATTGTTCTCTTTTTTATTATTCCTTTTTTTATTTTTTTTCCATTTTCTGAACCTTCATCTGCCTTTTTAGGAACTGCTTCTTTTTTGCTAATATTCTTGGAACTCTCATCTATTTTAATGGCTTTTAAGATTTCTCGCCATGCAGATTATATCAGTGTTTACATATATTGTCAAACTTGTCTTCTGAGATACAGCCTAAATTTTCCACTTGTGTTTGAGGAGCAGTTCTAATTGTATTACCCTGTTACCACAAATAAAATATACCACCCTGGCTGGTGTAGCTCAGTGGACTGAACACTGGCCTGCGAATCAAAGGGTCACTGGTTCAATTCCCAGTCAGGGCACATGCCTGGGTTGCAGGCCAGGTCCCCTGTAGGGAGCATGTGAGAGGCAACTACACAGTGACATTTCTTTCCTCTCTTTCCCCCTCCCTTACCCTCTGTCTAAAAATAAATAAATAAAATCTTTTAAAAATAAAAAATATATACCTAAAACCTAAAGCTTTATACTATCCCCAAATCAGCCCCTTCTTCTCTTTTTTCTCTCACTGGTTCCCTACTCTTCTCTCGAGTCCCCCATTCCTGAAATCTTAGTCATTTTGACACATCCCTCTCTTACAATTAATTTCAAAGGCCCATGCTTCTCATCTTTTTTCTCTCATTTTAATTTCCACTACAATTTTATTTATTTATTCATTTAACAAATACTTGTTGAAACATGCTAGGATTTCTCTCCCCCCTAACAAGTAGAAATTACATGGTTTCTACAATATAGCATAATGCCCAGAAATGATTGGCCCCAGTAAATATTTGCTAATTAACTCACTAAATTAATAGATTAGGTTGAACCATAAGAAATTGTCATTTTTTAAGGTCAGAGTGGTCAAATGCCAGCAATTTTACATGTTCAAAAACTATGTTGCCAGAAAGAATCATACCAATATGAAAGAGAAAAATATATAATATCAACATGTTACTCCTTGATACTGTTAATGTGAACAATTATACAGTAACATTAGTGTTTATAATTTTCTGTCATTAAACTACAAAAATTAGACTTTTCTCTTCTTTGCCTGTTAGGAAACACGAAACTATCCTGAGTCATATCCACAGCTGCCAAGAGATGAGACAGTGGAGAACCCTCATCTCCAGAAGCACATTTTGGAGTTGGCCTCCATTCTGGATGTTCGAAACGTCTTCTTTGAAAATACCATAGACGACTATTAACACAAAATCCTCGTGTCGAAACAGTTTTTCATTTGCCACAGATTTTAAATGGTGCCGTTTTCTAATGTGATGACAGACACACAGTGATGTTACTTAGGTTTTTATTTTTTAATTTAGGACCACCATTTTAAGAACAAACTGAAAAAATTGTTCATACTTTTAGGGTAATTATTTTAAAATACAATCTTTTGGGTCTTTTTAAAAACTCAACTAATCTTGGGATTTTTTTTCTTTTTCTTTTTTGGTCTTGAGGTATGGAAACTTGCCTCCAGCATCTAACCCTACACTCAAATAGTCACTATTCTCACCCTGTGAAGAGTAAATTATTTATTTTTGTACAATGAAGAAAATCCAACTCTTAAACTTGGACCTTTCGTGTGTGGATTTGGAAAATACATAATTGTTCAGAGAGGAAGCTAGCCAGCATGGACTATTAGAAATCAAGAACAGAGTCCTGCCGTACGATTTCTCTTCATTCCAACTTAGTAGGTAGAAAGTGTATGATTCTCTGAAGTATAATCAACACAGTTCTTGAAATCATTTCACTTGTTTAAATACTGTCAGAATTTCAGAAACTGTATAAGACTGATTTGCATCTGAAGGCTAAATCTTTCACTGGGGTCTTGAGAGGGATGAATATCGTTTGGAATGTGTGAGTCCTGTGTTACTATGAGATATGTTTGCCTATTTTGTTTCCTTCATAGTCTTTGAGTATTGAAATGAAAAAAAAGAACCACTTTTAAGTATTTCATTTAAAATGCAGATTGTTGGTTCAATAACACAGTATTTGCAGTTGGAATTCTATTTAAATTCTTTGTTCGTAAGATCAGGTTTAAAGACTGCCTAGATGGAAGCCCGTGGAACACAGTTCAGACTTTGTAATCTTTTTGCATAGTTCATATTTATGAGACTTCAGAGTCAGAGATGTTACTCATTTTAGCTGAGGGTAACTGAATTGCTATTTAACCTAAAATGGAAGTTGCTTTTGCATTGACAATTTGGCAATAAGGTTTTTTAAAACCTGTTTTATTTAATATTTTATATACATGCACAAGTTTTTTATTATTTTAAATAGGACTCAGTATATAATATAAAGATGTTTGTGTTTTTCCTCCCTGTCATCCCCTTCATAATTTTGCAGGCACTAGCTGTGATGTTTTCCCCTCTCTTTTAACTCCACAGAATTCAAGTTCAGAAAGTCACGAATCAAATTTCTGCTTAATTTTCTGTACAGGCTTGCATTCTACCTCTGGCAGCCCCGGGGGAAATGGTGATAGCTTTTGCAGCCGCTTTCCTATGTCCTTAGGGAATTTTTTCTGTAATATTTTCAACTTGGTTTTCATTTCTGTCATACAGAATTAGTTGGGTCCAAGTTATTAATATATTTGTTTCAATTGGCTGACTTTTCACCTGAAGTCTTGAAGCTACTGTTCTTGGTTTGGGGGGACTTTGTGATGTTTTATTAATTTTTGAATTGTTTGTTCTTTTAAACAGTATTTCGGAAAGCTTTGGAAACATTATTCTGGGTAGATATTTTCTTGCTCATGGGTGATTTTTCCTTAGCAGATAGACTGTTTTCCCTTTTCTCAGCCCCTTCGCTAACGTTGGAGCTTTCCTGTGAGCTCTGCATTCACCTGACTCCAGCAGGACAGACCTTAGTGGGCTGGCTGCTGTATCAGCTCTCCTGAAGTTCTGTGCCAGTGACATTCCCAGCAACACATATGTTCCTGTTCTCTGATGCTTAAGATAATATTTTACATCCTGAGCTTTATCCTCACCTGTTTAGCATAAAGAACACTGGTCTGAGAACTAGGAGGCCTGAGTTCTAATTCTGCCTTTCCTGGTAATTAGCTTTATGCCCTGAGCAGGTGTCTGCATGTCTCTGCTTTTTAGCATTCTCCTCTGCAAAGTGAAGGCATTGGCCCTGGGTGCTGTCCAATTGCATGGTTCTATAATTTGAACTCTTGATTCCAAAGGTATTGATTTCTTTACTCATGTCACCTGGAAAACTAGTTTCCCTGATTTTAGTGTACACAATATTTACTTTTCTAGATTATATTTAACTAGTTTTTGTTCAAGAAAATATCTGGGTCCCACCTAGTTGTTGTAGAAACTAGTTCAGAGAGAGTGAGTCCTGAAATATTAGAGCTTCTGTGATGAGAAATGTGTTTATCTAACAACAAAGGGTCTCAGACATCACAGCAAGGGTTTAGATGATGACATTGCTTCTTAAGCTAATGGTGGTATAAATTGCTTACTGGTAGTTAAAATTTTTAAGTGAGCCAAAGTGATCTTGAGAGGAAAACTGCTAGAAAATTCTAAACTATTGTTTCATTCATGCCTTCAGAAAAAAAGTGTTGAACAACATCCCCACCCCAGATTCTGTTCTAGGTGCTGTGGGAAAGCAGTCAAAGTAGACTTAAAAATTCCTGTCTTCAGGAAGCTTCTACTCAAGTAAGAGGAGTCGGGCAATATGTGTAATAATTAAGTAATTTTATGTTAGAAATTTATAAGTAGTATAAAGAAAAATTAGATCACTGTAAGAGAAATTTTATTTGTTTCTTTTGGGGCAAAGAGCAATGTTGCAATGAGTGATCAGGGTAGGCCTTATTAAGAAGATCACATTTGTGCAAACACTTAGTATTTCTTTGTCTTTTCTCTCTATGGTTTTTTTACCTTTTATTATAAAAGTTTTAAACATAAACAGAGGTTACTGAACCCCCTTGTACATTTTACGGTGTTACTTTCATCAAGGACAAAGAAACGTGGAAGGACAATCACCCAGTGGGGTCAAGACAGCAGCGGCACAGAGTCTTCATTTTTTCCAGTGCACGCTGCTCCCCTTTAGAAATATAAAGATATTGAGGCCTTTATTTATTTATTTTTAGATTTCATAGAAATTGAAATATTGGAACTAAGAACAGAGCAAAGCAATAGGAAAGGGCACTTCTTTGTTTTCAAACGGCACACACTCCCCCTGGAGATTCTGATACAGTCTCTTATCCTTAAAATCACCATAAACAAAATAGGGAGGAGAAGACTCCAAGAAGTCAGCTATACACAAAACAAAATTAAGCACAAAGAATTAATTTATCTTTCTTCACCCATATATTTCTGAAGTTGATAATGTACCTATCTTCCCTATTTTACAAAAGGGAAATACACGACCCCACCACCACCAAAACTATTCATTTACTCACAGTGATAGTTAGAACTCAGATCTCCTGATCTCAGCCCAGTCTTTCCAGTAGCTCAGGTTGTTTTCTATAGTGACCGAGAAAGAAATAATTAGAGATTTATATTTTGGCACAAAGGTTATGATATTTTTTAATATCAAATATTAAAACCAGTAAATCAGTCAGCCCTAGCAAATTTTTGTGCATTAATTATAAAGAATCCACAAAAGTTAGACCTTTTGTCTTTGATTTTAGCCAGGATATGTGTGTGTGTGTGTGTGTGTGTGTGTGTTTTCCTTTTAGGAAGTGGTGCTCTCAAAACCTCTCAAAGCACATAGAATTTATCGTACCCTTTATATTTTTATCAAGCTGAAATGTTCTGCGATTATAAAAGCAAAGTGCAATCTAGTCATGACTGAAACTTTTCTGATCTGGAGTCTGGGTTTTATTTTTCCTCACATGTGGCTTTTGCCATCTGTTTTGTTTTTGTAATAGAATTCCCTGAAACAGATTAGGTGGTGATTGAACTGAATTTCATTGAGGTAAAGGGAAAATCAGCAAATCTGCTTTTTTATATATCAGTTATGGAGCTTTTTGTAGCATTCTTCTTCAGGTTTAATCTCTGATCTGTGTGACTGTAATTTTCTGTCTCTCAGAAGGGGTTTGGCCTCAGTTGAAAAATCTTGTAGTTATCCATGGAGACTTGTAATCAGCCTGATACACAGAGAACATTCTTCACTGGATATATAGTAAGGTACCAAGGTCTGCAAACTTGGCTACTGCCAGTGATTCAGAATCCCACCCCCGACCCTAAGTGAGTAAAAGATTTGATTTTTAATATGAATGGTATGAATCTCCTTGTGATATTTTGGGTGTATATGTGTTCCTGTATGTTTGATTGGAGAGAGTAAAGAGTATTTATGTTGAGGGCTCCTTTGTTTTTATTTACTTGAAATCCTTACTTGTAATGGTATGTGTATATTTTTATGATGCTAAATGCAATCTGTATACTTTTTGTATATATGTACATGTTTGTAAATATATTGGTATGCAATGATATAGTATGTGTATATTATATACCCGTACCCATTGTGGGCTGAGTTTATTTACGTTCTGTGAGGACATCAGAGTGGCATTGTTCATGCTGCTGTAATTAGGTTGTGGCTGTAGCTCATTCATGAGCCTCTATTTTAAGGGGCTTTTGTTTGGGTAAAATGGGTAAATTTGGGGTTGAAATTAGGGTACAAAAATCTTAACAGATGGCTGGATATTCTTAGCTTTAAATTCATCTGCCGATTTTCTTTTAAACTGATGATAAATTAGTGATATAAACCTGAAAAACCTAAGTATGTGAAACTGAGACACCAGCAGATTCTTAAGCTGCATTAGTCCTTTATTTTCTTGATCCATAGTTGAATATTATTACTGAGTAGTAAAGTATTTATGCTGAGAATCGAGGGACTGTGGGAAAAATTACTTTGATCACATTTCAAAATAGATAGGAAAATGTCCTTTAAATAGGGACTATGTTCTTAGTTGCCATTTTATTGCCTGAAACTGACTTTTAATTTTGGAACAGTTGTTTTCACCATTGTGTCTCTGTGACTCCATGAGGCAGAAAAAGGGGCATTAGCTAGGGGACTTAGGTTGGGTGAAATTCATTGAGAGCAGGGGGTTGTTATTGGCATATTTACAGCAGCTGTGATCACATTAGTCCCATCGTGGCATTTCTGACTGTACATGTTTCTTATGGGGGTTGCATATCAAAGATGAGTATGTTCATCTGAGCAAATGCTTCCAGTGAATAAAAGGCCTCCAGTTGTATTTCTTTGTCTCTATGAGATCGCTTGTGTTCTGCAAATTGATGATACATTCATACATGAAGTAGGATTCTTAATATTAGGTGCATGACGTGCTCTAAATTCTGGGCCTTCAAACCTCTACCAAAGATGACAGGTGGGGGAGATAAGAGGATAGTAATTATGTACAGTGCCAATTTGTGAGCCTGTGATATATCACAGAGTATCCATGTTCAGTTACGCTTGTCTTCACTGGGCATGTTTATTTGCATGGAAGCGTGTAAAAGATGTTTAGTATACACTTGAATACAGTCACCACAGAAATTAATTAGAGGTTATTTTTGCATGATAAAATAGAACTGCAAAACAACCGTTTCCCCCAGTATTCTTCAGAAGATTAATTCTATCTGACCCAATGTTAAATTATCTTAGAGAAGTTAGAATCAGGAATCAATTTTACCACCCCCAAAATACTACATTTGCCTCTTCATTGTAGTTTTAATAAAAGTCAACTATTCATAACACTTCTCAATTAAAGTCTTAAATTTAAAATGTTATAAATATTAAAATTTGCTAATGTGGCATTTTGAAAAATCAGTGAACACGTTCATAGTGTTGGATGTTCACCAGATCATTTGTTGCAATTGGAGACTAGCAGAGCAGGTGTTACGCTATTGGGTTGGCCAAAAAGTTCGTTTGTTTTTTTCTGTGAGATTGTATTGTGACAGCTGTCATATCAGTGTGCACTTTTTAAAAACTTACCAAACATTTTGTGTGGCCATTTTAATATTGAAGATGAAAGAAAATATGCAACATTTTCTGCATAGCATGCTTTATTATTTCAAGAAAGGCAAAAACACAACTGAAATACAAAAACAAAGATTTGTGCAATGTATGGAATAGGTGCTGTGGATGATCGAATGAGTTAAAAGTGGTTTGCAAAGTTTTGTGCTGGAGATTTCTCACTGGACGATGGTCCATGGTCATAGACCAGTTGAAGCTGACAGCAATCAAATAGAGAACAATCGACGTTATACCACCACATGGGGAGAGTGACACTCAAAATATCCAAATCAGTGAAGTTATTGGTGTAAATGAAAAAACTGTCTTTACGAAAAGAACTAAACGGACACATTGACCAACCCAGTATTTAAAATTCATGGCACCCACTCGGGCTCAGTGTGGGCATTGATTTGAGGAGAGCAGCAACAATAAGTGCAGTAGATGAGGTTCCACTGTGAATAGGACTCCAACAGCTGCAGAGCCAGTTGCTTGGTGGTTGTATCAGGATGGCTTAGAAAACCAAGCACTTTCCCCTGTTCTCCTGTACTCCTAGACATTGATACTCTGACCCTAATAGTGCTACCCATTCTCCCCTGCATACTATGACCACCTTAAAAATTTTTTTTAAATGGCACTTTGTTTTCCTCAATCTAGAATTTCAAAACTGTGTCCAGCTTCACTGAGTTTTTTTTTTTTTTGGACACATATTTCACAAGCATATCTTCTGTTTAAGGAAAAATAATTGGTATGTTAATGGAATCAGTCACCTATTGGAAAGAAGGATGTCAGAAGGACAGTGCAAGGGACGTGCCCCTAAATGGGTGAAGAGAAATGTATTAATATAACTAATTTGTTTGTGCCATAGAAATATTTCCATCTGTAGGTATGGAATATTGTTAAGCTAAAATTGGTATTTTTCACTTATTTGGTGTAATACTGGCTTTTGAGAAGAATTTCATTTCTGCATAACACTGTTACTTAATCACTGATTGAAGCACCATTTCTTAATTTTAAAATATTTTTGTTAATTTGTGGTTTTTTTATTATTTTTAAAATTAGTTATCAAACTGAAATTTTTAAAACATTTGAATAGTAGGTCAGAATTTTTAAATAGTTTGAAGTATATTAATTTTGCACTCCACATTCAATTGATCATAAGCCTGAATTTGGTCACAGAACAGACTGTAAGTTGGGAGTATTTTCCTATTTGGGAGGACAATTCCAGGATGTCCTAAGACAATCATCTTTTTAGGTAGAGTGTTGTGTTTATTGAGACATTGGTAATTTCAGGGTTCAGATTCTTTCTGGTAGGTTTATGGAATGAAAGTTAATAGACTGAGTGATGTTATCACTTTCAGGATGAGATAGAAAATTATAGCAGCCTTCTTACAGGTCTGCAGTAAACAATATTTAAATTTTATGTTAGTTCTGGCCATTGTGGCTCAGTGGATTGAGTGCCAGCCTGAGAACCAAAAGGTCACTGGTTCATTTCCCAGTCAGGGCACATTTCCTGGGTTGCAGGCCAGGTCCCCAGTAGGGGGTGAGGCAACCAATCGCACACTGATGTTTCTCTCCCTCTCCTTCTCCCTCCCTTATCCTCTCTCTAAAAATAAGTCAATAAAATCTTTAAATGTTTACAGGTCTATTTTAAAATAATATGTTATATCACTAATATTCTTTTCTCTTTTGGAACTTTCAAATCTCCATTTGTCCATGATTGAAAATTAAGATTAGTGAACATTACAACTTGACCCATAAGTTTTCTCAAGCATCAAATCAGTGTGATCGACCACGGTAAAATGTGAAATGATTATATATGATTATCCTAAGGTAAATATTTCCAAACCACAGGGAAATAACCCCAGTATTTTTTAAAATCTTATTCCTGTCCTCCTTTGCATGTCACTGATTTTTTCTAAATTATAAAAATGTGTTGTGATATATTAAAATCCACAAGAAAAACTGCATTAAATGTTTTAGGGCAATAAGAATTATTACTGTTTCTTGAAGAAGGAGTTCTTTAAAAACAAACTCGTTTCTTCATCTTTTATTAAAAATAATTTTTAATGGTTCAGTAAAATGCTTTAGGACTTGACTTTCACGGCTTTTTACAGTTATCTGGGTACATTCCTTTCGTCACATAGACCACGTGGCTAGTTCTCCAAATGTTTTTGTTTTTAATAAACCTGCTGTTAAATAATCAGAATCTTATGTTTTAGAGGTTTCTTCTTGTTAAGGTGGAAAGGTCTTAGATACTAGGAAAGGCAGATGTGATGTCCTAATATTTCATAGTAGAGCTTACAAGTGAAGGAATTTATCCAAATAGGTTATCTTCAGTGTGTAGCACCAGTACAAATAGGGGTTTCATGAGTCATTGGATCTGATGAAGCAGTGATAAATCATCTCTTAATTTGCTCTAATAATTATTGTCATTTCAGGCCACATTCTTTTCTTTGAGCAATTTCCACGGTCAGGTTGAATACCGTTTTTCTTTATTCAAATCATCACAAAGGTTAAGATAATCAAATAGGAGTTAAAATGAATTATGTTTGATTGTTTTTCCCTGAAAATAATGGTGAACCTATTGTCTGTATTATGAATATTAGGCAGAAATGCACTTGTTCCGATCATAGCAGAAATTACATCTGGAGAATATAACTGATTTTCTAGTGGTGTGAAATACTTTTTAAAAACTGTGCTTGTCTGTAACTGAAATGTTATAGAATTGTAACAATATAGGGATTATAGAGTTATATTAGCTCTCCTCAAGACATTGAAGCACAATAATTTTCATGTAACAGTTTTTATCCAAGTGCTGCTAATCTGTTGTGCAAATAATGAAGCTATTTGATTGCCTATCTAGCTATTCACAAATGACTATAATCCTTGAGACGTAGTCTTGTTGCTCACTTGTAGTAAATTTTGGGTATTGTGGGTTAACACTTTAGAACAGAATCCATCAATTCAGTTGTGAGGCAGCAAACCATTTGAATTCATTAGTTTTGTATGCATTGTCAGTAGAATAAATTTTGAAGGGGCTATTTACTACCAATGACTAAGAGGGAATATTATATTGTATCATTTGACTTGAACTTTTGTGATCTTGTAAGTCTTGTCTGTTGTGTTTGAAACTTACTTAAGCCATACATACTCTTAATGATGTTTTTTATGTTCTTTCTCAGCAGCCTTTTTGTCTGGTATGGTTAATAGCTTATAAAAATTGAGAGGTTATTGAAACATTTTTTTTCCTTGAGTTCATCACTTTTGACTCTTGTATATGGGATTTGTCATAAAGAATAGTCAGCCTTTCACTTACTTCACAAAATGAATTTCAGAATTAAACACTGTGACCTGCAGAGCGGATTTAGTAGGCCCCCGTCTTTCCAGTTTTCTTCTTTCATATGGTGCCTACCACCTTGAGGGAGCTTAAATACTAGAGGATGGGAAGTTAAACATTGTCATTTTTGTTTATTGAGTAACAAGATCACACAGCATTTGATTTTTGTTGTCAGTGTATTGAGAGCATTTTTACATTAATAAATGTTCTGTAGAAATGTGACTACATTCATCAGATGTGAACTCTTGTAAATGAATTTTGTATCTTGAATTCACATATATATTAAGTGTATCAATATAAAAATAAACATTATTTGCTTAAAAGTTGTTGGTTCTTAATAATCGTTGACAACTCTACGTGCTAAAACTCCTACCGTTTGTTTGCTTTCAGATAATGTCATACAGTTCCAACTCTTTTGGGGCTGTGGATTCAGTGCTTATTCTCCTAGTTTGTATGTTTCTTCTTAGTCTTACTCTTGGTTTTTTCCCTACCCTACTCCTGGTGGTCGGAACTGGAACTCGCGGAGGGAGGGATTGTTTAGGGGAATCCAGTGGAAGCTGTCGACACTGGGGCTGGTTGATGTTGTGTCTGGGGCAAGAACATGAGCAGTTTCAATGTGGAATGCGTGGCTTGGCTAGCAGTGAGAAGTACGGAGACCTGATAAAGGCTACTAATTTGCACTCTTAGCTTCGTACGAGGCAGTTTTTACCTGGTAATGAACGCAGTGGGTTGCCAAACCGGCGTTTTTGTTCTTTAAACTAAATGCACCGTATCAGAGTGCACTACGTAATAGGGTATGATTCTGGAAACTCCTTTCAAAATTACAGCATATGTGTCATGGGTTGCGATATAAAATGTGTAACCTACAACAGGTCATAGGCACAAAAGTTAAAAACTAACAATCACAAGGCACGAGGCACCCATTACAAACTTGGAGTGATCACCTATTAAGTGACAAGGCGGCTGTGTAGGGTGCGGGGAACTGGGACGCGGGAAGAGGAAAGGAAGCTCCGGGTTGGCCCAGCGCAGCCACCACCGGTGCTGCCCCCAGCTCAGCACACGTCGGCCCCACCGCACCAATTGCGTTCTTTCCTTTTTGCCACAAGGTTCCTCCCACTTCCCCTCCTTTCAGCACCTACTCTTAAAAAGGCCTCGGCCGCACTGTCAGCACACACCAGTCCGGCCACTTGCTGACGTGGCCTGCCCGCTGGAGGGAACGCCGGGCACCGCGCCCACGCCATCCAGTGGGTGGGACCCAACCACTCCTCCAAGTTAGCGCTCAGGTCCGCCAGGGCCACTCTCAGGCGCCTGCGCGCCGGGGACAAGCAGACCCTGCGCGCAGCTACTTCCGGCGCGCTGGTGCAATTGCGGTTCCGGGTCAGTGCTTCCCTAACCTGCCGGCCGTTCGGGCTAGTGACGCGCCCCGGCGTTCGTGAGAAGCCCCGGAGGCGGGGCTCTGCCGGCTGCCCAGAGAGCGGCAGGTGCGCGGGTCGGGGCCAGAGACGCGCGGAGGCCCCTCATCCTCCCAGTAGATTCGGTCTGCCCCCAAAGCGGCCCAGACGGGGTTGCTCCAAGTCCCAAGGCAGGGGTCGGTACCGGGGTGCTGAAAGGGCGAGGGTGGGGGCAGAGGAGGGCTGCCCGTCCTGGGAGCGTGGAGCCTAGGGTTCCTGGATTCCTCCTTTCGCGACCTTTGACAAGTCACTCCTCTCTGGATCTCAGTTTCACTGCTGTCAAATTGGAGAGACGTGGGCTCCCTTTGACAGTCTACGCCCGAGCGCGTCTCGAAGAGTGAAGAGTGCTGTCCCAACTGTCGTGGCAGGTACCAGCCTGCCTCCTTGGGCGCTGGGCAGCTGTCTTTTACCCAGCTGAGCCATCCTTTCTCTCAGTGACTTTCTTAGTGGAAGTCAAGGCTCCAGGGTCTGGCCAGGTAGTCTGTGACTCAGAATCAGTTGAGAAATAATCATTGATTCTGGAAAGTCGTAATCTCATTCAAGGTATTTTGCTTGGGTCGCCAGTGTGAAGTGAATTTATGGACCTACTGCAATGAGAGGTTTTGTTCTTTGTGCCTGTAAGTGAAACTCTTAGGCAAATCACAAATGCAGAGGAGACCAGACTGTGAAAAGGTAGCTCACTCAGGAATGGGGCAGTGACGGGTTTTTCTCTCTTCCCTCTAATCCCTCTCCCTACTCTTCCAACCCCTCCACCCCCACCCCAGCATTTTCACCTTACACTTGAAAGGAAGTGTCCAATGCATTTTATCTGTCTTTGTGCAAGACGGAATGCTTTGACCTCCAAGCTGTTTTAACTCTAGTAGATAAGCTAGGTGAGTAGTTGGTTTACAGACATTGAAGGTAAAGTTTTTAAAGAATTGTACAGACCTAAATGGAAATGGTAAGAAGTGCTTTGTAGATCTTAGGTAGTAGAGCTTGGATTTCCTCCACAAAACATGAAAAGTTTAGGTTGGAACCGGGATATCAATGTTTTTATACACCAATGGGAGGAAAAGACCTTGAATCTCATTATTAAATATTATGTAAAACATTCTGAAAAACATTCTGAATCTCATTATTAAATATTATGTAAAACATTCAGAAAAAAAGAAACTGATTTGAGATCATTTTTAATTGCCCTTAAAGAGAACCACATAGCATTTCCAGGAACGCCTTTTCTGAGTTGTCAGCTTTTTCTGGTGAATACCTGATTGCAGACCATCCTGGAACATTAGAACATTATGCCTTTTCCTCATATTGAGATACGTGTTTTTGTCTTCATCTTAAAAGAACATGCCAAACTATAGTTAGTATTATTGGGAGAAAGATTAAAAAACATTATGTGATGTTAATGTTAGCTCTGGAAATTTTTACTTAATGTATTATACACCACAGCCAACATGGTATTAAAAAAAAAAAAAGGAGAGTAGGGACTTGTGAGTCAGAATCCTTATTTCAAATACCAGCCCTGCCACCTAACAATCTTTGGCAGATTACTTCACCCACTCAAGTCTGGATTTCCTTATCTGTGTGTGCATATGAAGCACCTGACTGCTTTTAAAAATGCATAGTAATGGTGTCCTATTAAGTATATGTATAAAATGACGAAGCTTAATTTTCAAGCTTGAAGCTTAACATACCAACTGAGAATGTGAAACCTCTCCAGTGTTTAACTTAGAGTTCTCTTTCTTCTGATTTATAGATACTGGGTTGCCATAGGTCCTTGGCCCACATTTAAGAAGAGATGAAGCTAGCTTGGGTAACTGGAACTTTTTAGGCACCTGTCTTGGAATTCCTGGTTGCTGGCCTAAAGACTACTGTGGTTTAAGAGCTGGTCCTTGGGGCAGGATAGCCCCACAGCAAAATGTTTGCTAAACTAAAGAAGAAAATTGCTGAAGAGACTGCTGTTTCCCAGAGACCAGGAGGTGCTACTAGGATCCCACGGTCTGTGAGCAAGGAATCGGTGGCCTCTATGGGAGCTGACTCAGGAGATGACTTTGTGTGTATCTTCGTTAATTTTTAATATTTGGTACCATTTCAATATATATTTAAAATAACATATTTTTCTTTTTTCAGGGAGAGGGGAAGAGAGGGAGGGAGAGAGGGAGAGAAACGTCAGTGTGCAGGAGAAACAACAATTGGTTGCCTTTCACACACTCCCAGCTGGGGACCTGGCCTGCAACCCTGCCATGTGCCCTGATTGAGAATTGAACTGGCAGCCTTTCAGTTCACAGGTCATTGCTTAGTCCACTGAGTCACACCAGCCAGGGCTAATTTTTTAAATTATAATTTGTCTATTTTGCTATTACAGTTGTCCACATTTTTCCCCCTTCGCTGTCTCCTACCCAGCATACTCCACTCCTTCAGGCAATCCCCACACCATTGTTCATGTCTGTAGGTCATATGTAGGTTCTTTGGCAACTCCATTTCCTACACTGTACTTTACATCACCATGGCTATTCTGTAACTACCTATTTGTACTTCTTGATCCCCTCACCTCCTCGCCCATCCCCCCACAGCCCCTCCCATCTGGCAACCATCAAAATGCTCTTCATATCCATGATTCTGTCTCTGTTGTTCTTCTTTGCTTAGTTTGACTTTTAGGCTTAATTGTCGATAGATACAAATTTATTGGTATTTTATTGTACATAGTTTTCATCTTCTTTTTCTTAAATGAGTCCCTTTAACGTTTCATATAATAATGGTTTGGTGATGGTGAACTCCTTTAGTCGTTTGTTTGTTTTTATCTGGGAAGTTGTTTATCTGCCATTCTATTCTAAATGATAGCTTTGCTGGGTAGAGTAATCTTGGCTGTAGGTCCCTGCATTTCCTGAGTTTGAATATTTCTTGGCAGTCCCTGCTACCCTTCAAAGTTTCTTTTGAGATAACTGTTGACAGTCTTAGGGGAACTCCCTTGTAAGTAACTAACTGCTTTTCTCTTGCTGCTTTTAAGATTGTTTCTTTATCTTTACCTTTGGCATTTTAATTATGACGTGTCTTGGAGTATGTCTCTTTGCATCCATCTTGTTTGGGACTCTCTGTGTTTCCTGGACTTGCAAGTCTATTTCCTTCACCAAATTAAGGAAATTTTCTTTCATTATTTTTTCAAATAGATTTCCAATTTCTCGCTCTTTCTCTTTTCCTTCTGGCACCCCTAGGATGTGAATGTTGGAATGCTGTAAGGTTTCCCAGAAGTTGCTTACACTATTCCTTTTTAAAAAAATTCCTTTTATTTCTTGTAGTTCTAATTGGTTGTTTTTTTGCCTGGTGTGGGTTGGGACTCCTTGTTCCTGAGATATCCCTTTTGAATTTTATCTATCACATGTGGATGTGAGACCAGCCTGTTCCATCTCTCTACCCCTCCTACCAGTCTGGATAGATGTGGTTTCTTAAATTCTGTATTTGTCAGACTTCTTCCAACTTGATTTTTGACTGTTCTGAGTGATGGTTGTTCTATATTTTGGTTGTAATTTTGATGTGGCAGTGCAATGAAGTGAGCCGTGTTTACCTCTGCCACCATCTTGACCAGAAGTCCCCTGTTTCTTTTCTGTGTATGTATCTTCTGCATCTTCTTTTACATTTCACTTCTCCGTAGTTCAGTCTGTTGTCTCTGCAGACATATATACTTTAAGTCGTTATTGCTCAACAAGGTTTGTGAGTTGTCTTTTGGAGTGAACCAGAGTGTACTCTTTTATTGGGAAAGTTGATGAAAAGTTGGCACTGATGACTGCTTATGTTCGTTATTTATAAAGTACCTTTGTGGTTGGCAAGATTTTAAAAAATGAGGCTGTTGCAGTGTTACGTAAAGGTCAAGCCTTGGGATTAAAAGTATGTCTTTAGCATATGTTAGGATCCTCTTAACATCAAATGAGACTCATTTCAAAACTGATTTATAATGTCCTGGCTGGGTAGCTCAGTTAGAATGTCATCTGGTACCCCAAAGGGTTACAGGTTCAATTCCCAGTCAGGGCATGTATGGGAGGCAACCAATCCATGTTTCTCTCTCACATCAATGTTTCTCTTTCTCTCTCTCCCCACCTTTCCTCTCTCTCTAAAATCAATTTAAAAACTATACATCCTCAAGTGAGGATTTTATTTCATTTTTAAAATATTTTATTTATTTATTTTTAGAGAGTGGGGAAGGGGAGGAGAAAGAGAGGGAGAGAAACATCAATCTGTGGTTGCCTCTCACACGGTCCCCACTGGAGACCTGGCCTGCAACCCAGGCATGTGCCCCGACTGGGAATTGAACCAGTGACCCTTTGGTTCACGGCCCGTGCTCAATCCACTGAGCTCTACCAGCCAGGGCCTCAAAAGGATTTTTTAAAAAGATTTATAATGCTTGATATATGTAAAGGAATGTATATAATGTAAATATAAAGTATAAAGAATAGAAATAAAATGAATGCTTGAGCTCTGACTGGTGTGGCTCAGTGGACTGAGTGCCGGCCTACAAACCAAGGGGTCCCTGGTTCGATTCACAGTCAGGGCACATGCCTGGGTTGCAGGCCAGGTCCCCAGTAGGGGTCACACAAGGGGCAACCACACAAGGATGTTTCTCTCCCTTTCTTTATCCCTAACCCTTTCCCTCTCTCTAAAAATAAAGAAATAATTAAAAAAAACAAATGCTGTTAGTCTGTCACCTACCCAAAGGACTAGAACATTGATACTGGGGTTTTTTTAGGGGGAGGGGAGTTTGTTTGTTTTTTGGTTTTTTTTAGATTTTCTTTTCAGAGAGAGGAGAAAGAGATGGAGAGAAACATCAGTGTGTAGTTGCCTCTCATGCTCCTTGTACCGGGGATATGGCCCACACCACAGGCATGTGCCCTGATTGGGAATCGAACTGGCAAACCTTTGGTTCCCAAGCCAAAGTAGCACTCAGTCCACTGAGCCACACCAGCCAGGGCAATACTGCTGAACCACTTGTATGCTCCTTTCCAATTCCCTTTCCCCTCATCCCCTCCAGTGAACCATTATCCCAAATGTTGTGTTATCATTCCCTTGCCATTTAAAATATCCTACCAGATATGCATATAGTCAAACAGTTTGTTGTTTAATGTTGCTTATTTTTGAACTTTCGAGTTTCTAAAATTCATGTGTGTTATGTGAAGCTGTGGTTCACTTATTTTTACTGCCATATAAGATTCCACCATTTGAAGACAGTTGATCTCTTGTCTATTCCTGGTGATAGACACTTGAGTTGTTTCCATGGTCAGATGAGTCTTCCTCCTCCTTTCTTACACTACCTGTCTGGGTCAGATTACATGTCAGAAGCTGTTAGGTTATTAAGGTGAAACAATAAGATTACCAGATCTAAATTATCATTGGCTGCTATAATTAACAGGAAATATAAATGCACATTTGATCACCAGACTGAAAGATACAGTTTCAGTTCTGAGTTCTGTGGCACAAATACCTGCATGCTGACATGCTAAATGAAGGCTCTCATTTCAGCTGTATTCCAGACATCCAGATTGGCCTGAATTCAGGAAATACGTAGCTCTGAGACTTCTAAAGTAATTGATTTGAAATATATATATATATATATGCTCATACACATACACACACACACACACACACACACACACACACACATTCTTATTGCTCCCTAGTTTCAGACACTTACATCCTGCTGCGTATGTTTCTCCAACTAGATGTTTTTTCTCTGGTGTCTCAAATTCTAAAACAAAACTGAAGTCAGTAACTCCATTTGCACATGTGCACCTTCATCCCCCAAGTCACCAACAGGAAGCGGAGGCATTTTAGACTCTTTCCTCCATGGCCTCTTGGTGTCCAGTCAATTAGCAGGTATTTGGCTTCCATCTCCTAAATGTCTCAAACTTGCCCTCTTTACCAGATTTGCCGGTGGTACATTCACTTCCGTTTTATTTTGAGTTGTGTTTGTTTCTTGGACAAATGCGGTCATCCATCCGGGCTTCCCTCCCTAAGTAACTCCCCAAAGTAGATACATTCGTGTCTCTCCAGTGCTTAAAAATCCTCAGTGGCTTCCCCATCCTCTTTGGGAGGAAGTGCAAACTCATTATTATAGTATAATGGTGAACAGTCGTGATCTGTCAGCCTCATGTCACTGTTTTCCTACAGCCTGTGCTGCAGCCAGAGTGACCTTACTGTACTTTCTGGAATGGACAACATGCCTTCATGCCTACATGTCTGCATATACAATTTCCATTCTCTGGAACAGCTCCTGTGTCCTCCTTTCACTTATGGGTCCCTCTGGCAGACTCTTGTGCATCCTTCAAGACTGGTTCACCTGTTACTTCCAGGAAGCCCCCTTGACCGGACCTGCCCCTCTCATCTCTACTCTTTATCCCTTCTGGCTGAATTCGGTCCCTGGCCTCCTGTTTACCCCTGTCAGAGCACCTGTTGCATTGCATTGTTGTTGATGTTCTGCTCGTCTCTCCCACTGAACTGGGAGCTTTATGAGAGGCAGTAGAGTGTAGCAGTTGGGAACTCAGGTGAGATTATAGAGTGAGGCCTGAATTTGATCCCCTGCCTCCATCATTATTGCGTGACTTTGGGCAAGTTCCTTCACTTTTCTATGCCTTAGTTTCCCCTTCTGTAACAGTGGGTGGGAACCATTCTCTTAAAGTAGGTGTCTTGTCCCTGAGGTTCACCCATAGGTTCAGTTACACTAGGCAGACTCATGGGATTCAGGATGTAGTTTTACTGACTGCCATCATTTATTACAGTGAAAGGACGCAAAGCATAACCAACAAAGGGAAAAGGTGCGTGGGGCAAAGCCTGGGGGAAACCAGGCACAAACTTCTGAAAGTCGTCTCCCAGTGGAGTGACACGGGACAATTAATTCCCTCAGCAGTGATTTGTGACCACACAGGGTAGAATGTTGTCTGCCAGAGAAGCTCCTAAGAGTCTCAGTGCCCAGGGATTTTGTTGGGAGAGCATTTTCCAAAATTTCAGACTCCCCGAAGGAAGGCAGAGGTTAGCATAAGCCATATTTTTTTGCACAGTTGGTTTAGGGTATAATGAGCCATTCTTATTAGGAACCTTTGGAAAATCTAAGTTCCCATAGGCCAGCTGAGGGCTGACCTTGCAAGCAGGCCTTGCTAAAAATAGCAATCTCAGGCCTGTGATGTTAAGTCTTTTCCGCACGGTATATAAAACGCTTTGTCATGTCGTGCCTGCCTCTTAGCATTTCACAGTTAGCAGTTGCTGCATGGACGACAGTGTGGTGATTGCGGGGCTGGGGGAGTGGGGCAGGAGGAAGAGGGTGTAGTGGGGATAAATGGTGATGGGAAAAATACAATTAAAAACACCCACTTTGTAGTGTACTGGCTGGCTCTTAACAAGCGCGTCAAAATTAGTAGTTGCTGCAGCTACTGCCATTTTAGGTAAGGACTTTTTATTTTACCACTATACCCAGTGCTGAGAATAGGGTGTCTCACTAACAGTGATGATCCTAACTTCTACTGATAATAGGTGACGTGTATTAAAACCAGCTACGTGCCTGGCTGCATTTTAGGGACTTGACAAGTGTTGACTTACGTACTCCTCATCATGTTGACTTCAGTACATCGTGTTTGTTGTCATAGTTCATGTATGCAGTCACTGCACAGAGAAGTTAATAGTTGGCACAAGTTGTATACTTTATATGTGGTGAAGATGGGACTCAACCTGGACCTTCTGCCTGCAGAGACTCCCTTTTAACTATACAGTGTACTGAGTCTCTGTGAATGTCGGTCCGGCAAGTGGCTAAGTGGGTAAATGATTTAGAGTGAGATGTTCAACCACCTCTAAAGACATTTTGGGAATAAAATGGGGAAATGTAATGATATTAGGTGCTATTATTTTTAGTTTTGTTAGGTGTGATAATGATATTGTGATTATAAAGGAAAATGTCCTTATATTTTAGGAATGTTTATCAGCCCTGGCTGGTGTGGCTCAGTGGTTTGAGTGGTGGTCTGTGAACTGAAAGGTCACAGGTTTGATTCCCAGTCAGGGCACATGCCTGCGTTGTGGGCCAGATCCCCAGTGGGGGACACATGTGAGAGGCAGCCACGTGCTGATGTTTCTCTCCCCCTCTTTCTCCCTCCCTTCCCCTCTCTCTAAAAATAAATAAAATCTTGTTTTTTAAAAAAGAAAAAAGAAGTATTTATCAAAATATTTAGGATGAAATGCCATGGTGTCTTTTATTTAAAGTACTTCAGTGACATAAAAATTGATGGAGCAAATGTTGGAAAACATCAGCAGTTGTCACAGTAGATAGAGAATATTCACTAAACCATTTACTTTTCTGTATTTTAAAAAATTTTATAATCGAGGTAAAAGATAAAGCAAGTTCTTTATTAGCAACAGTAAACAGTGCCTAAAATAATAATAGTGCCCATGTGCTTTAAGACAACGTAGATTGTTGGGGAAAATTGATGTCTCATTAATATATTGATAAATTGAATGTGCAATATCTGCTAAAATTGTTGATGCTTTTTAGAGCCTTAGATCCACATCCCTTTGTTTTATAGATGAAGATACTTAAACTTAATCAACGTCAGTGATAGTTTCTTCATCACAGACCAGCTTTCCCCTCTTTATGCCAGGATTTTACCTTTAGAAGAATACAGTGGTTTTCTCTTTTAACACTGAAAACATATATTTTGTATGAGGTACTTGGTGTAATAAGATTGTAGTGGGTTTGTTCACCACCCTTTATTCTGATAGCATGTACACACACACACACAAAATTTATCTGTTTGGCATCTTTTATCTCATTCAACTATACATGGATATAGTGTTGCTTCCACTTTATAGGTTGAGAAGCTAAGGCCCAGCTAAGTTAAGAGGCTTTTCAGTGATCACAAAGTGTAACCAAACCTAAAATAAGAGTCATCACTTTCTGGTTCAGTACTGTGGTCTCACACTTCTAAAACCACCTGTGTGAATACGACCTCTTCTTGTGTCTATCTCAACAGGCTTCCGATGGAAGCAGCTCCAGAGAAGATCTGTCGTCTCAGCTTTTGAGAAGAAATGAACAGATACGGAAATTAGAGGCCAGGCTTTCTGGTATGTCTAAGGATTAATAAAAAGCAAACACAGGAAATTTGCCTTGACCAACCATCTCTCCTTTTTATAGCCATGTAGCATAACCTTATATTTATTTTGAGGTATTTTGATCTTCTTAGTAAAAAAAAAAGGAGCAATTTGTACCTCTTTTTTCCTTGTTTTGATAGTGTACTACATAGTGTAAATTCAAAACTGAGTTTTAAGGTTTAAAAAAACAACGTATATTTTTCCGCTCCTGAGGTTTCTAGCCATAAATATAAAAGTAAAAATACATGTAAAATAGATTTGACCATCTTTTTTAGCCATTACCATAGCTTGCTTTTGGGTGGAGAGGGGCAGAGGATACCATTTATAGGGAATGACCAGCAGACTTTGGATTCTTCAACACCAGAGGTGTTTGGTGCTATGTTGCCACGTCCTACAGCTACACATCACCTCTGTGTCTTTCTGGTGTGTGGGCCACTTTTCAATAGTATTTCTAACTTCGGCACCTGTCTGGGAGCAGTAACTCTCACTTTTGTGTCTTTTGTGCGCACTTCACAATGTACACAACTCCCATTATATCCTTTGCCTGAGCTGGTCACGTTTGTGGTAGAGTTGTGAGTTCTTATGTTGGTTTCTGCTAGGGGACACATTCTGAAAGCTTCATTCTGTAAAGTGGTCCTTGGCTTCTGTGTTTCTTTTTGTCCCTTGGCCATATGCCCACTGTATTAGAGTGAAAGCAGTTGACTGCAAAACTCACCCAGCTCTATGTGAACTCGCTGCGTATGTGCCATTATTGAAAGTCCATAGTGCAGTTCACAGCCTCCAGTTAGTCCACTATCTCATTCTGTCCCCACAGTAGGTGGCTGCACTAGACATAGTGAGGTTAAGGCCACACACGTTGTAGGTGGTAGAGCCGGGATCCAAACTCAGATTTGCTTGATACTGGAGTCCATACTTTTCATTACAGTCTGCTTTAAACCCCGTTGTTACTCTCCTCTTACCCTCTAGTGTAAATAATACCAGTGACAGAGGTGAAATCATTGTACATTTGTTGAATGTTGTGGGGAAACCTATAAAATAATAGGTACCCTCCCTAATATAGAAGGGAGAATGGTCTAGGTTTGATTTATGTTGGGAAGGAAGGGACAGGGAAGAGAACTGCCATTTACTGAGTCCACTTATGTCCTGGGTAGCCTCCTGTAGGCTTGGTGTGAATGATAACAACACTCCCTTTTACTGAGCCCTGTGTGCCAGGTACATGAGGCATACAAAATGGTTTATTAAGTAGGTACAGTTAGTGTTGTTATTTGATAAATGAGGAAACTGATACTTAGGATCAGTCATTTGCTTAAGGACTGACATACAGGATTTGAACTGAAGCCTCTCTCCTTTTCCACTGCGCCCACCCAGGTAGTTAAGTCTGACTTTCACCTGTGAAGTGGCACAGGCAGCTCAGTTCCTGTGTAGAGAGGAAGCTGGCTTTCCTAAGCTTGAAGTCCTTTCACTGTAAAGGCAGTCCTGTGGTAAGGTGTCTGCATGGCCCTAACCACTGTCACTCGGTTGTGTGGACTGTGAGTATCTAGTGAGTTCCCTCTGGTCTGTCTTGCTAAGACTGGAACGAGAAGTGAAAACTGAGATTTGAAGTTAAATAATGAGATATTACTGGTTTTCATAGCAGGGCATTTCTGATGACTAAACCAGGCCCAGTCTTGTTCTCTATCCAGGCTAGAAAAATCCGCACGTCTGTATCCATTTGTACCACGCACAATTTGTACTATACCTTTTTGCCTGTGTTGTTCATCGTCAACGGGAGGCTATCTGCCTAGCTTTCCTTAACGGGAATGGTTTTCAGGCTGAGAAAATCATCATCATTTTCACTCATTTTTTGTTGTTTAATTAACTTCCTTTCCTGATGTTTGTCCATTCTTGGTATGTGCGTCATCCTCCTCACCCAAGACTATGCCGAACAGGTCCGAAACTTGCAGAAGATAAAAGAGAAGCTTGAAATTGCGTTAGAAAAACACCAGGATTGTACGTATTTTTTTCCTGTTTTTTTAAAATCCTTTTAGGGTTTAGTTTTTTTAAATGAAACAATAGTGAATAATTAAGTTTTTCACTTTGCCATAGTTCACATTTTTATGAGTAGTTTACAGTATTTTTTAATCAAGTTGATATATAATAATAACATTTGTTTGGTATTTAAGTTGCCTTATGGGCATGCGTCTTAGGAGAAGGTCATTATTATCTGTGTCTATCCATTTGGCCAGAGTATTGGCAAAATCTGGTACCTGGCTTTTGAACCTAGATTGAGAGACTTTGGTTCTGGCCATAGCTCCATCCCTGCTCTGCTCAGAAACGGGGGAAACCTCTGCCTGCCACCGCTCCTCCCGCAGCAGAACGTGCGTTTTGTTCATTCTGCCCTGTCTCATGTATGCTTCGCTGGGTTCAATCCAAGGAGATGCTGCCCGAAGTAGAAAGTTATTTTTTATTGATGTAATACATACTAAAAATAGTTTTAAAGGAAAACAAAGTGAAAGAAATAGTTTTTTGTGTGTTGCTTTGCTTGGCTTTTTGTTTTTGTTTTTAATTCTGTAAAGTGGTAATAGTTGTGATTTAGCAACAGTGTTAGCGTTTTCTTGTACCTTACCTAACTCAGTGCTCTATTGTTGTGCCATTTAAAAAGTTACCTTTTGGCATCTTCCTAAATGTATATACTTGACTATTAAAAAAATAGGAAACAAACAAAAAATGGTGGTCTCTTACTAAGGCCAAAAAGATCCTGGGAAAGTCGAGATGGATCAGGTTTTTGCCAGGCTCACAATTCATTTATGTTACCTCAGCCTTTTGGGTTAGGTAACAGTTATAAAGTAATCACATGGGTTATTTGTCATACTGTTTCTGAAATATTTCCATATCTCAAAAAAAGCCTATTTGTTAACAGCTTCCATGCGGAAATTTCAAGAGCAGAATGAGACATTCCAAGCCAACAGAGCCAAAATGGCAGAAGAACTGGCTTTGGCATTAGCCAGAAAGGACCAGGTATTTTATATGTGACACTGCCCAAGACTGGTGAAAAGATTTCACTTAGTGACAGGATTTTAAAAAATTGTGATGTAAACCTGGAAAATATTTATAACCTAGGAGAAAAGGGATGCTATTATATATGTTCTTCGAGATTTCATTTGGCCTCAGGGTGCGATATTATCAAGAAATTTTACAGTTATAAAATGGGAGAGTATTAGTCTGCAACTGTGTAGCTTTGTAAAACAGAAAAGGAAAATTGTGTCCATAATCTGGTGGTGAGCCCCAGACAAGGAGAAAGGTCTCTGTCCTCTGCAAACCTGTCTCAAAACCTAGACTCAGACACGTGCCTTTTATACTGGAGAAGATGCTTTCAAGCTAGCCATCATCCGTGATGTACATGGTTCTTACAATCTTGGACTCCTAAGTTTGTTCAGCTCTAGCCAGCTAGACTGTAATCTCATTAGAATCATCTGTTTTAAGATGCTCAATGAGTGACACTAAGAAAGGAAAATAATGCTATTACTAGCTATTATAAGGTATATTTTGCAATGGCATTTTAAATTTAAGATAAGCATCAAGATATAATGATAATTTTTATTAATTAAGACAGGGTCAGTTTACCAATATTATATCACTGCATTTAAGAAAATGTATGATTTACCTGCAGTAGGTGGGGTGGTTGATTGGTTGGTTTTAAAGTGTATATATGTCAAGTAGGACATTTACTAAACAGAGGAAACATCATTCACCAGTACTTAGTGGCAAACTAAGATATGAGTGTCTGTAAATGAAGAAATAATCTAAAATTGGTAGATTCTAATTTGTAGGCACTTGGTATAGGGCATTTTGTACCAGCAGGTATTTTTCCCCTGTTCAATAATTTGTGAATAAGGGGCATAATCCCTTTTCTATTACACCAGGTGGCATGAAGCATATTGGTAAAATCAAGATGAGAAGGAAAATAACTATTAGAGGCTGCTGAAGACTTTCCCCCTCAGTAGATTACTTTGTAAACATCAGTTACAGAGTTACCAGCTCTGCTGGTCCAAACTACCCATCCCGAGAAATCATAGTCATACTCATGGGAAACACTCAGGAATAAGCTGGGAAGCTGCATCTGAGCAGCAGAGATAGCTTTGTGTGGGTGTCTGCTTAGGAAACATATGCAGGCTTATATTCGTGTTCTGGAATCTTATGTAAAGCTCATTTCTTCCTTTAGGACTCTTGGCTTTCTTAATATTAAGTCAACTTCATGGGTTTTTAAAAAATGTTCTGTTTTGTTTGGTTGCTGGGTTGCTTTGGGGAGGGGAGTGGCAGGTTGTTTTGTTTTCTGAAAATCTTGCTATTGTTGATACTCTTTCCTGGAAACTATACTTTTTTGTTGTTTTCTTTTAGGAATGGTCAGAAAAAGTGGATCAGCTTGAAAAGGTTAGTTCATCTTTATTTTTGCCTCATTGTGAATGTTGGCCTTTTCTGTGGGCTTAGAAAATGGTTTCTGCAGTGTCCGGGGTACCGATAACTACGTTGCCTCTTGGGAGCCAGGTACTGACGTGAAAAACTCGTGTCTCATGCGTTTGTGGGGGCAGGCTCCTCCCAACACACTCTCTAACCCTCTCTGAACTTTCTCTGCGTGCCTGAAGGCTGGTAGGAGCTCCTCAGTAGGGCTCCATTGCCCTTTCCCTTCCGATTGGATCCCACCGGGGTCGGGTGGGGCACTAGAGAACCGTGTGTGGAAGAAGACTGTGGTCAGCGTGTTTAGTTCCCAGCCTTCTCCATGTGGGGTCCCTTCAGGTTGGTTGTATCCCACGGCCAAAGGTCGCAGCTTGAATCGGACTTTTGGTTTCCCCTCTTGACACAGTTTCTCCCTCTGGGTTTCTTGTAGCCTCTTCATCCCTTGGCCCCTTCATGCCTATTTATTACTAGCACATTTTCTCTTCTAAGTTTTGTTACTCTGCCCACAGCTTTGAGAAGTCCCTTTATTAAACTTTTCTCTAAATACCTAATTTGAGTCTGCCATCTGTTTTCTTGCTGGGACCCTGACTGACACTCTGGTCCCGTTAGGAACCCTTTTTGAGGACACAGTGAGAGGAAGGCATTTCTCCAAGCTCAGCATCAAGCAGATGAGAGAGCCTGTTGGCTGCTCGCAGACGAGGAAGGTTGATCATCCCAGCCCCAGGGCTCGTCCAGCACTGTGTAGGTGTCTGAGGGAATCCTGGCCCCCCAGACCTGAACAGGAAGATGGAATTTCAAGGCTACAATTAGGAAAACGTTCTAATGTTTTTAATTTAATTTTTAAAAAAATCTTTATTGTATTTTTTCCGTTACCTTTTAATCCCCTTATATTCCCCTCCCCCCAGCAATCACCACACTGTTGTCCATGTCCATGAGTCCGTTCTCCTTTCGGCTCCATCCCTCCATCCCCTAACTTTCCCCTGTGCCCCCACTGCCTGTCACCCTGCTCTCCACCTGTGAGTCTGTCCCCACTTTCCTTGTTAGTTCAGTGTGTTCGTCAGATTCCGCACATGAGTGAAATCATATGGTATTCATCTTAGAAAAACATTTTAATTTAAAATAATCAGTATTCAACCCCCTCAGCCTGAATTATGTGCTGCTCCTTGAGTCATTCCTTGTTTTCGTCAAGTTCTCCTGGGTTACTCTGCATGCTAGAAAAATTTCTTAGATTGATATATTAAGTTGCAAAATGTATTTACTGTTAGTTTTATTTAACAGATGAATTATATTATTGCTTTATTTTTGACATGAAACACCAAATTAAGCCAGTGATTTTCTTTGTGTGTGTTTTTTTTAGAAATCTGAGTATTAAATCTGAATACTTTAACATATTTATTTTTTTAAAGATTTTATTTATTTATCTTTAGAAAGGAAGGGAAGGAGAGAAGGAGAGAAATACCAATGTATGGTTGCCTCTCGTGAGTCCCCTGCTGGGAACTGGCCTGCAGCCCAGGCATGTGCCCTGACTGGGAATTGAACTGCGATCATGTGGTACGCAGGCCCGCGCTCAATCCACTGAGCTACACCAGCCAGGGCATTTAACATATTTATATATAAGGAAGGAGCTACAGAAGAGTCAGGCTATCTCCTAAAGAAAGTGTGCCTAAAAAAAAACAACTCGAAACATGGTGTTAATGATGGTTTTCTTAAATATGGTGGTGTGGGTTAGGTCAAAGTATTCTTATCCTAAAAGAAACCGTTACCATTGTAGCAGTTGAGATTATGATTGGGCTTTTTTTTAATCTTTTAAAATTATGGTAAAGGGGGGTCCATATAGCACTGTACTAAATAAAACCTAGTTCAGTCCACCAAGGAGATTGTCTCTCTTCTCCCTCCTCACTGAAAGGAGGGGTTGGGAAATATTTTAGACTGGGAAAGACTCGTGAGACACTGTGTAACCACCGTGATTTCTGGAAATGTTATTTTTAGGCTGTTTGAATTTCTTTTCAATCAGGAATTGGAAACTGTAACAGTAGTGTTTGTCCCTAAGGGAATCCACCTCGGGAAGCTATCATGTAGTAAACTGTTACCTGCTGACACTGGTCATGTCTAGTTTTCATTGACTTGCTAACTGAAATCAGTTCTACTAAAATGCATCTTACTTTTTAAGGGCATTCGGTCTTACTCCAGTTATTAATGTCATTCAGCCAGTTGAGTCTGTCACTGAGAGTGGATGTGTAAAATAGATATCCAGAACTGCTAGTAAGTCTTAAGTCTTAAGGCTTAAAGTGTTAAGTAATTGTTCTTACTGCCCTTGTTCACAACATTTAAAACATTTATTTTTACCTTGAAGAATGTATAGGTAATGACAAATTGGTCATATTACTGTAAAGCTTTTTATTATTAATATATTATTATCTACTGACAAGAGATTTCCTTAAGATTTTCCTTTATTAAGAATTCTGTCCCTGGCTGATGTGGTTCATTGGATTGAGTGTTGGCCTGCAAACAAGGTCACAGGTTCAATTCCCAGTCAAGGCACATGCCTGGATTGCAGCCCAGGTTCCCCATTTGAGGGTGCACGAGAGGCAGCCAGTTGCTGTATCTCTCACACATTGTTATTTCTCTTTCCCTGCCTTCCCTTCTATCTAACAAGTAAATAAATAAAATCTTTTTAAAAAAACCACACACAAGAATTCTACTTACATAATACGATTTTAATGTCTTAGTTGCCTGATTTGATGTCTTCTTCTTCCACATAGGAGAAAAGGTTTCTGACAGCTCAGCTGCAGGAAATGAAGAACCAGAGTTTGAATCTTTTCCAAAGGAGAGATGAGATGGATGAGCTAGAGGGTTTCCAGCAACAGGAGCTAAGTAAAGTGAAACACATGGTGCGCATTTCTGTTGTAGTCACTGAATACTGAATAGATTATTAATTATTCTGATTTTGCTAGTCATCACCCTCCCAGTACTGATAAACATAGCCCAGTAGTCTTTGACATTAATCATATTTTTATTTTTTCAATTTATTAAAGTGGAAAAGTTCAGTTTGGTTTTCTTTTCTTTCTTTTTCACTGCTGGGCATGTAAGGCCACTTAGAAGCCCACAAAAGTGTAATGAGAGTTTGGCTTATTGGTCCAGATTTTTATTTTTAATTATATTTCTTAGTAGTGGCTCAGTGAAACTTTATCTTTGTGTCAGCTTTTAAAAAAAGAAGAAAGTCTGGGGAAAATGGAACAAGAGTTGGAGACACAAGCCAGAGAACTTAGTCGCACCCAGGAGGCGTTGATGACTTCCAATCAGGTGTCATCAGACCTAAGGCAGAAGCTAGAAGAATTGCAGAGACGCTGCTCGGCGCTGGAAGAGCAGAGGTTCTCGCTTGGTCTGTGGGGCCCATGGGAAGCGGTGTTAGTGTAGCCCTGGCTATAACCCACCCACCATTCCCTGTTACTCTTTGCAGCACTTTCTGATCTCAGTTCTGGCAAAGGTTCTGGGCTTGCCCTTCTCTGCCTAGGGCTCAGGACCCCACCCCCAAACTCTCATTCCTTTTCACCTTCGTAAGCCCAGAACTCTTCCAGCCGTGCTGAGTAATTCAGTATATTTTAGTTTCTAAGCTATTGAGAAACCAAAGGCAGATCAGGATTTCTTGCTTAAACTTGGGTGGAATTTTTCTCTTTGGGCTTCTGCTTCAGAGAGGGCCAGGGAGTCTTCTCCACTGATAATCTTCACATGGTGACTGTGAAGCCCTGACATCTAAAGAACCACTGTATTTTTTCTGCAGAAGAGTGTGTATTAGATGAGATATCCAAGTTTGTTCATTATCTTCTTTCTTTCAATGAAGAGATCTTGTGACAGCTTCAAAAACGGGTGTGGAAAATAAGGTCACAGCCCTGGAGCAAAAGGAACAAGAGCTCCAAGCTTTCATTCAGCAGCTTTCCATTGATTTGCAAACGGTAAGGCGAACAAAAATGGAAAATAAAAACATAAACAGCCCAGATCCATGTGGCTCAGTCGGTTGGACATCCAGTGTTCCACAGAATGAAAGGTTGCCTGTTTGATTCCCAGTCAGGACACGTGCCTGGGCTGCGGGCTTGGTCCCCAGTTGGGGTGCAAATGAGAGGCAACTGATAGATGTTTCTCTTTCACATCAGTGCTTCTCTCCCTTCCTCTCTGTAGGTAGATAGATATATATGTACATACATACACACAAAAACCAAAAAGGTAAAGGGGGCACTGGGAGTGGACTCAGTTTCTAGGATTCACGAGTGGGGTAAAACCCAGTTCTGTCAGAACTTTCCACCTCGGGAACCTGGCTCTCATGTAGCCCGAATTGCCTGGTTCCTGGTCCAGCCAGGCCTCGTTCACAGGGACGTGGCCATGCAGCTGGGCAAGGGCGGCTAAACCGAGGGGGTGAGAGTTGTTCTGACAGGAATTCTCAGAGCACGCCATTTGGCCTACACAAGCATGTTTTAAAATTCTATGTGAGGGACCCTGAGCACAAGAAAATGCCATAGTCATGGTCGACATGGCCCAAGTTGCGTATTTGACATTCCTCGTTCAACTCCAGTGTATTCAAAAACACATAAACGATATCATTACAGTTTCTTTTTTCTTTTGCCCAACATGCATTTGTTGCCCTCCTACTCTAGGTATGTGCTAAATTCTGAGAATATAAAAGTGAACGCTAGTAACATTGTTGATTATAAAGTAGTGTTTCTCAGTGGTTTGCTTATCACTGTTTTGAGCAGATCAGTTTGTATTGTGTGATTGTCCCGTACATTGCATGACATTGAGCTTTCCTGAACCCTGGGTTCTGAATGCTGACCGGCATTGACAATCCAGCCCTTCCCCTGCTGTGACAGAACACCCCCTAGAGGGCGCTCCATGCATGCTGCCCTCACCCCCTGGGAACTACTATCTCACATGCAGCATCCTTACAGTGCAGTCAGATTCATGTAAATAGAAGTCTCTGTGCCCCTTCCAGCTAAGTACTAGCACACTTACAGGTATCTAAATGGAAACTACGAGAGGTGATACACCTTGTTCAGATTTATCCAGTAAGTGACAGAGCTGGATTCTAACCCGTCTTTCTCCAAAACTCATGCTTGTCCTAGGCTTTTGCCTCACAACACAGAGCTCCCAGTAAATAGATCTTCCACAGATGAATGACTGTGATACAAGGTCTCTGTCCTAAGTGAACTGAAAATTTAGACACATACAGCATTCTTTTTTAGAGGCTTACAACTTCAGTATGAAACTCAAACCTCCTGTGACCATGAGAAGAACATTCACAACTCAGCAGGTCCCAAGTAAATGAAACAGACTTTTCACATTCAAAGGCATGCTGTAGGAGAGTGCATTTCCAGCACAGGAGTCAAGGAGTTCTTCCTGGAGGATCTGGAATTTCAAGGATGGGCAGGGCAGCAGGAGGCAGAGAACGCAGAAGAGTACAGAATACATTTGGGGGCTGGGTGTGGAGGGGATAACAGATCCAAAACTTTGGGATTGAAGGGACCCTTTGATATCAATTAGAACTATCCATTTTATAATTGGGAAAACTAATTGTCTATACGCTGGTAATACTAAGTTCCCGTATTCATTCTAAAAATATGATTTGAGCTTTATTGTATGCCAGGCTCTGTGCTGTGCTGTGTTAGAAATGCTGTGATGAGCAAAATGGGCACTGCTGATAGTCTAGCAGGGAAGGCAGACATTAATCAATGCTCATGGAAGTACGTGATTATAAACTGTTACGTGTGCTGTGAAGGAAGACCACAGGACGTGGTGAGGTCTTATAAGAGGGCGTCAGGTTTCATCTAACCTGGAGTCACAGACCACCTTGTGTCCTGCAGCCTTGATTAGATGCAGGTGTGTTTTGTCGATTCATTTGGATTTTGTCATCTGCAAATACAGTTTTTATGTTTTCCTTCCTAACCTGTATACCTGTTATTTCCTTTTCTTGCCTTATTGCATTAGCAAGGACGGCTTCTAGTATGGTGTCAAACAGGAGTGGTGAGAGGGGACATCCTCACCTTGTAACTGATCTTAGTGGGAAAGCTTTGAGGTTCCTCACCACACTGTTAAGTGTGATGTGAGCTGTAGCGCATTCGGTGCTGAGAGCCCGCGTTAAAACAGCCCAAGTGGAGAAGGGGACTCCACGTGGGGTGTGGTGCGCAGAGTCTAAGTGGAAATTGGCAACTGATTCTCTTCTGTTCCTAGCTCTGCCTGATGCAGTGATTGGTACAAGGCTTGTTTATCCTTTTGGTTTCACTGGAAAGGATCACTTGTATTTTTCAAGTTCAGATTGATATGTAGTAGAATAAGTATAGGCTTTGGACCCAGATCTGGGTTTGAATCCCTTATCTATCACTAAGGACTAGGTTTAGTCCTTACGTTTCAGTTTTCCTGTAAAGGGACACAGTGAGGGGTGGTTGTGAGGACTAGTGGCAGTGGAACAGGCTCGCACATGTTCTGAAAACTATAGCTGCTGGTGCTACTGTTCCATGCTATCATAATCATTACTGTCACTGCTATTAACATTATTAGTAAGAGACCCATAAAAATGGGTCAATATGGCAAAAACTTAGTTTTTCCTTCCTGTTAAATTCCCTCTGCCTTCTGTGTTCTCTGCCTTGTATAATGTTACCATTCATCCGGCCCCAACACTCCGCTACCGTCAGAGCTGGAGCAAATGGACTGGAATAAAGAACTGGGCAGCCGTTGGTTTGGGGCAGAGGTGTGAGATGCACAACATCTCTCTTGTGGCCCCTGTGTGAGCCAGGATGTGTATCATCTTTGGTTGCAGAAGTTCTCTCTTGGGCCTTAAGGCAGCTGCAATGGCATCATTGCCGCTTCATCCAGCCTCATGCTTCCAGGAGCTCGGTTCTGTGGGACATTGTGGGGCTGGTAGGAAGCTTCCTGCATGGGATTATCTCTGCTGGGTTTTAGTATCAGGGTAAAGATGTTGGACTCTGGATTAATGGAATTCAACACATGCTTGATAAGAGTGAGGAGATGTGTTCCTTTAGCTAGTGAATCGTTGCAGTGAGCCTAGTCATTTTAAGGAGGAGAAGCATCTTCCCAGGGTCCAGGCTAGATTCCACAGAGGCAGGAGCGTGGCTCTTTCCTGGGCTGTCCCAGGTTGCTTAAATTGGGGCAGGCGTTTGCCTCCTGGTGAACAAGGTTCAGAACTGGATGCCTAAGTGGCACTGGGTTCTGCTTTTGTATCTTTTTTCACCCATTTTCAGGGAGGATTTCCTGGCTGGGTACTCTTCTGGAATGCAGTTGAAAAGAATTTCAGGGAAACGCAGTGGTCCTACAGGAGACAGGAAGGGAGGGAGAGAGGATTTATAGTGTAATGTCATCTCTACTTTCACCTGCAGGTCACTGCTGAAACTCAAGAGAAAGAAAAGCTCATCACCCATTTCCAGGAGAAAGTTGCATCCTTAGAGAAGAGACTGGAGCAGAACTTATCAGGAGAAGAACAGGCGAGGGAACTCCTGAAAGAGGTAATGAAGTCTTTGTGGGCTGGCCAGTGCGGGGCAGGAGATCTCAGAAAGCCCTAGAGTTTCGGATACTGGGAGTCTACCTGCAGCTTGGTGAAAGGAGCGCACCCTCTGGCTTTCGATCGCCCTGCTTGCAGCCGAAAACAGCCTCATGCCACCTGTGTGTGACATGTCTTCCTCCGGGAAAGCTTCATTCAGAGATGCGCATGAATAAATAGCATCCTGATCTCCAGTGAACCCCACCTAGGCATTTGCCCCACTTGGACTGTCTGGTACTGCTCTGTTCGTCTCTCCCTTTCTCACTTTCCATTGGCCAAGGAAGACAGTTACCATCTGCCTTTGGCTTGAGCAAAATTGCTTGGGCGCTAAGTGGACTCTCCTTAGCTGAGGGAGGCTATTGAGAAGGCTGACCGTCTGCCCAGTGGTGTAGGTGAACTTGGTTGCTCATCAGGTCTGAGCTCCTCATCTGCCCACATTTCTCTCCTCCTCTTCTATACCAGTGATGGACCTCACCATGACAAAGGCGACAAAGCCAAGGCCCTGGGCCTAGAGTAGACCCTCACTTTCTGTCTTCAGTTAGTTTCCATCTCCACTGCCACTGTTGTCCTCGAGGGCTTCTAGCAACTCTAGCCTAGCTCATGTTAGAAGTCTCCGGACCGGCCACCAGCGTCAGCCTGCCCTCTTCCGCCATCTGACACGGCCCTCCATGAGTGTGGCCAGACTGCTCTTCCTAGACTTAGAGACCTCCCACGTTCCTCTCCCCACAGTCGGCGGTGCATGCACTGTGGGTTCCAGAGTGTGAATCGATGTCTAGGGCCAGACTAGGTTAGTGTCTCACCTCTACTGTTTATTAGTGACTTGGAGCTAGTAATGTCATCTCTTTGTGTTTTTTTCTCTAAAACAGGGGTATTCATTGTACCAAATGCATTGGGTTGTTACTAGGATTAAATGAGTTACAGTATGTGAAGTGCTTAAAATGAGGCTTACAACATAGTAGGGTCTTAATATATTTCAGCTATTAATATTATAACCATTATTGTGTCACCATCACTATTATTAAAATTTAGTGTGCATAGGAATTAATTGGGGAGTTTGTTAAAAGTATATGTATCTCTGGCCCTGGCTGGTGTAGCTCAGTGGATTGAGAACAGGCCTGTGAAGCAAAGGATAGCGGTTCGATTCCCAGTCAGGGCACATGTCTGGGTTGCAGAACAGGTCCCTAGTAGGGGACACATGAGAGGCAGCCACACATTGATGTGTCTCTCCCACTCTTTCTCCTTCCCTTCCCCTCTCTCTGAAAATAAATAAATAAATAAAAATTTTAAAGCATATATCTCTGGCCCTACACTCAGAAATTCTGATTTCTAGAGTAATTAGCCTGGACTAAAACCTCAAGTTTAACAAAGTATTACCATTTTTAATGCCAGTGTTTGGACAACTCCACTTTGAAAAATATTGCCTACAGAATTAAATTCAAACTCCGTTCTGCAGCATAGAAAGCTTCTATGATCTGGCCCTTTGCCTCGCCTTCCAGTCTGGTTTCCTGACCGGAACGCACCATCACTCTTATCTTTTGGCAAGTTGTAGGTCCCAGATGTCCCGGGCAGTTTCACACCTTCAGTGGTCATCCCTCTGTGGGTGCGCCACCCTCACCCCGCCCCTCTACCTGTGCATGAGGAAGCCCCCACCTCCCTGAGGCCCCGAGCTCTCCTGCTCCGTGCTCCTCCTTGAATAGACTGCATTCTGTTGTATGATTTGTTTGTTACTCTTTTGCCCCAGCCTCAAGGGCAAAGGATGGTGTCGAATTTATCTATGTACACTTTATGATGTGTGAATTTTTATCTTTTACTCTTCTTTGCACTTACAGAAAACAGTTGCCGAGCAGAATTTGGAAGATACTAGACGGCAGCTCTCGGTAGCCAGAAGCAGCCAGGCCAAGGCTGTTGACATCCTGGAAATGCGGGTACTGACTTCACTCCCAGTGATCGCAGCGTCTGGGTGGTGGCCTGGTTGGATGGCTTGGCTGTGGCTGAGAATCCCCTTGGGTCAGAGGTTTTCTTTTGAAGGGGCCGTTCTTGGATCTTACTTATGTGGCATTTTCTTCATTCTTGACACATTATCATCATCGTTCCACACAGAGTTTTCTTCTTGTTTGTTATTTCCTTTTATCCCCATTTCTCTTCATCCCATGAGAAACCATTCTGACATGGTTAGTTGGGTTACCCTAAAATGCGTGGCATTGTTTGGTGTGCACGTGTACAGATTTATGTGAATAATACAGCCATACATGTTTTCTCTCTTGCTTTCAACAGCCCCATCTTCTGTGTCTACTTCACTGTAGGTACCTGCTCTACTTTGTGGTTATCTTCTAGGTGATAGAAGGACAGATTGCCTTCCGGCTGTCACCACAGATTACACTGCTGTGAACACCCTTATCCCTGTCACCTTAAGGAGGAGAGAGAATGCATGTGACCAAATGTGACTCAGTAGGAAAGGATGTTCCCAGCTGGGCTGCACCCGGCACGACCCCCAGCATGCTCAGGGGTTCCCGTGTCCACGTCCGGGGGTTTTCCAGTCTTTTCATTTCTCACTGGCTTAAGGAGTGGGAAGTGGTGGGAAGGACAGTCTCTCTGGGGGGCCTCTTTAATGGGAGCTCTAATCCCATTCGTGAGGGCTCTCCCCTGGGACCTAAGCCCCTCCCAGAGGCCCCAGTCAGCATCTCAGCAGATGAATTGTGGCAGAGGCGAGGTGACCACAGACTTTCAGATCATAGCAATTTGGACCATTTTATAAAATCTTACTTCCTAATAAATATATTACAAGGTATATTTTTCTCTACATACAGCTTTATTTGTTTTATTATAACTCCATTCTATTTCTGAATATCCACTTTTTTATGGTGGTAAAATGTACATAACGTAATACCATTTCCACATTTCCAGGTGTACAGTGCAGTGGTGTTGGGTACATCCCCACTGTTGGGCACCATCACTGTCCCCCATCTTCAGAGCTTTTTCACCTTCTCTGACTGAAACTCTGTGCCCATTAAACAGCACCTCCCCAGCCCTGGCTGCTGTGGCTCAGTGGTTGAGCACTGGCCTGTGAACCAAGAGGTCACTGGTTCAGTTCCCTGTCAGGGCACGTGCCTGGGTTGTGGGCCAGGTTCCCCTTCGGCGGTGTGAGAGGCAGCCAACTGATGTTTCTCACACGTCGATGTTTCTCTCCCTCCCTTCTCTCTCTGAAAATAAATAAAATCCTTAAAAAAATAAACAATAACTCCTCATTCTGTCCTCCCACACCCCTGGTGACTGCTATTTCACTTTCTATGTGGAGTTGACAGATCTAGGGACCTCACGATAGTGACATCATACAATATTTGTCCTTTCGTGTCCGGCTTTCACTTACCATAATGTCCTCAGGTTTGTCCACATTGTAGGATGTGTCAGAGTTTCCTTCCTTTTTAAGGCTGAATGAGCCACGCTGAGGCTCTTGTTCCACTGTGTGGATGTGCCGTGTTGTGTTACCCCGCTCATTTGTCCCGGGACGTTTGGGTTGTTTGCACCTCTGAGTGCTGGCGGGTAGTGCCCTTGGGGCATCGGTGGAGCGCAGTGGACGAGGTTCTGGTGAGGGTTCATACTTTCGCTTCTCTTATGTGTGTCGTGTGTATACCTGGGAGTGGGTTTGCTGGGACGTAATGGTAACCCTGCGCTTAACCTTTTGAAGATCTGAAATCGTTCTGGAGTTCTGCCTCTAACTGGGGCTTGAGTAGGTGTTTTCTGAACCTCGGCCAGGAGTTTAAAAAGCTGGGTTTCAGTCCTGTCTCTACCACTGATAAAACTTACTGTCGTGGACAGTTAACATTACTGGTCCCTTCTGTGGAAGCACTCACACAGTTTCAGTGGGCTTGTCAGTGAACCACGGAATGTGAATGTATCCGAGGAACCGTGAGACCTGGAAACGTCCTTTTCTCACTGGGTACCTCCTTTTCCTCGACGGAGTTCCAACCTGCCTTGTGCTTAGGTGTCAGTAGTAAAGTCCCCCACTGGCAGACCTTATTGCACAAGCAGGGGACTTTATCAGAGAAATGGGCAGAGATGGCTTGGGTCAGATAAAAACGCCCCACCGGAGAGGCAGGTCTAGCTAAGGGCTGGACAGTGTGTGGTCACCCTGCCCACTGGGCCAGCCTGGTGTCCGAGTGCAGGGCCAGGTACATCACAGTCAGACTTGGTCAACATTTGTGGGATGAGTGACCAAAATGTGTGTCATAGCAGCAGCCCTCGTTCCATCCCAGGGATCTGTCCTAAGGAAGCGATTCAAACCAGGCCAACAAGTCCACATAAAGATATCAACTGCCATTGTTATTTGGATGGGAACATGCCAGCACAGGAGGCAGTGGAGCCGTAAACTCTGAAACAGCCTCTGAGAAAGTCTCGGGTGTGAAGACCACATGAAAACACAGAAGAAAACTTGATTGAGGAAGGAAAATACAAAGTTTTACTAGAATTGTAGGCAAAGTTATTTTTTAAAGTCATAAAAATAGATTGAGCCCTGGCTGGTGTAGCTCGGTGGATTGAGCACGGGCTGTGAACCAAAGGATCGTTGATTCGATTCGCAGTCAGGGCACATGCCTGGGTTGCGGGCCAGGTCCCCAGTGGGGGCCATGTGAGAGGCAACCACACATTGATGTTTCTCTCCCTCTCTTTCTCCCTCCCTTCCTCCCTCTCTAAAAATAAAGAAATACAATATTAAAAAAATAGATTTAAAGGAAATACATTAGGATGATAGTGTTTGAAAAAAAAAAGGATAATAGTGCCTTGGCTGGTGTGGCTCAGTGGATTGAGTGCCGGCCTGTGAACCGAAAGATCACCTGTTCGATTCCCAGTCAGGGCACATGCCTGGTTGCTGGCTGGGTCCTCAGTTGGGGGCTTGCAAGAGGCAACCAATTGATGTTTCTCTCCCCCACTTCCTCCCTTCCCCTTTCTAAAAATGAATAATTCTTTACAGAAAGGATGGTGGTGTTTTCTAGTGGTAGACTTAAACTGATTTGGTCTTGAAAGCCATTTGCGTTTACTCCCGGCCTCTGTTTCCCCCTCTCAGGTGAAGGAACTAGAGCAGAGTCTGCAGGCCTCCGAGGACAAGCTGATGCAGAGCAGGGCTGTCGCTGCCACTCAGGAGGCTCAGATTCAGGAGCTTGTAAGTGGTTATTGTGGCTGCTGTGTCTCAGGCCCTCGAGGCCGTCGCTTTACACGTTCGCACATGCTCAACCTCACTCCCAACTCCTGGAATGGTCTCTGGACCTGGCTCTAGATACAGTTGTTGTGCTGGGTGAAGGCAGCTGGGCAGCTGCAGGTGGAAGGAGTCGGGGCCTGGCAGAGGCTGTGTGGGTTTCCCAGAGGGTCAGTGACCAGCTGATTCCCACCGACAGCTGGCTGGAGGGCCCAGGCTAGTTCTGGGACTGTGACAGTGGAAGCGCCCCGCACTCAAACCTCAGCTTACAGCCAGGGCTGTGGAGAATAGGGCCAGGCTCTGGGGAGAAGGTGGCAAGCACTTGATCAGTTGTCCAGCCCCAGGAGGGGCCTTGAGTTGGAAACTAGAGAAATGAGAGCGGCACTCATTGCACGGTCACCCTGTCCCAGGCACTGTGCTAAGTACTCCACACCTCTTCCTCAGTCCTTGAGCAGACCCAAGAGGTATGAACTGTTATCCTCATTCTCTAGAGGAAGCAGGGTCAGAAAGACCTGGTCGCTAGGCCATGGTCTCCAAGCTAGTAAATGGCAGAACCAGCATTCTTCTCAGGGCAAGAGCCTTATTCAGCTTTATCACTGGGTTAGGCTGCCTCCCAGGGGAAAGCCACCGCCATAGAGGGCAGCACTGAGTACGGTGAGGGAGGAGTGTGTCTTAGGATGGGCAGGTGCCCGGAGCTGTACCCCCAGCACCAAGACCAATCCCAGACACCAGCTCCTGAGCAGGCCAGGGCCCGGGAGTAATAGGCAGAGCCTGCAGAGAGGGACCGCGGTAGCACCCAGGCTGGAGACAGTCGGGAAGGAGAGTTGTTGTGTTGTACACCCATCTTTGGGTCACTGAGAAGCAGAATGAGGCCCCCATTGTCCCCATGAATAATTGTCTTCTGTTACCCCGTAGGCCACTGCAAACCAGGAAAGCGGCCTTGCACAGCAGCAGTGCAGGGAGCACGTCCACGCGCTGGAGGCCCAGCTCGCTGCCCTGGAGACGGCTCGGGCAGCCGAGCAGGCGGCCGCAGAACGTCAGGTGGTGAGGAAAGGACTGGGGCCAGCCGCTCTGAACGAGGGGCACTCTTTGGAGCAGTTTTTCTCTTTCCAACAAGACACCTGCTCAGGAGACTAGATGTAAAAAAGCTGCTTTTATTGATAGAAACCCCAAATAGATGGCTTTTCTTTTTCCTTGGGCTACATGGAGACTTCCTGACTCTTTCTGACCAGTCCCATCAGCTTCTTCCCATTGTCTTTCTAAAGTTTGTATTTTTCTTCCCTAATGGCTTCTACTTTCTTCGGTCCCTCTTCCTGTTCCACAGTCTTCAGAATCAAGTGCCTATTTCTTCTTGTGAGGAGTTTGTCCAGTGGTTCTCCCTATCCCCATTCTCATATCCCCAGAAAAGGCTTGGGGGTTGTTTTTTAAAAGTTCAATGTCGAAGAGATAGGACTGGGCCCAGGGGAAATATGGTAAAGAGCTTTTCTTTTTATATATACTTTTCTCAATTTGCAGAGGGAGCTGGAACAAGAAAATGCAGTCCTTAAAGAAAATAAGAATGAATGTGAACATTCTTTGCAACACCACCAACTTGAATTAAAGAAGCTAAAGGTATTTAACTGATTCAGAATTTCATAAGCGCATCATGCCATTCACTTGGAGAAGGAGTGGAACTGTGGCACTAGCATAAATTCAGTAGTTCTGTTAGGCATTTGCTAGACATTGTCATCTTGTTAAGCCCTCTCTGATCCAGGACTAGGAAGAATTATGTCGTTTCTCAGTTGTCATTGAGTGCCATGGTTAGAGATGGTGCCAGTCTGACTTTTCACCCCAGCGCAGAGGCACAGCCCTCCCCAGGGCCACCATCAGGAGCCGCCCGAAGGTGCTGCTTTCAGAGCACCGCTGCTGCTGGTCCATAAAGCAAAGCCAAGGGTCGCAGGGCCCTTATTGCTTGTTTACATCAGTGCCATGTGCATGAATGAGGACACAGTCTGCTGGACTGTCACCTTCCCCTTCTGAGAACCTGGTGCTTTAATCAGGTGCTACTCCCATCATTTCCTGGGCACACATGAATGCGGAGGAAAGAGAGATTCAGCCACTCCCTTCTCAGCCTCCAGGCTCCCTGTGCATCCTATAGTGGGTTATGGGTCATTGCGGTGCCTGCCCAGCTTGGTCACAGTGCAGAGATGCTGTGGTCCTGTAGCCAGGGTCTGCTCTGAGAGCACCCACAGCTGAGGGCCCGCACCAGGTCGGCTGTCAGCAGCAGTCTCCCCTAAGACCTGCAGCTGTTACTGCAGTAGAGCCGTATGGCAGCCTGCACTTTGGACTCAGGTATTTTTTCATGCATTCTTTCAACCAACCTTTGAGTACCTGTAGGCACCGTTGTAGGTGCTGGGAAGTGGCACGGTTCTGCCTCTCCTCGTCCCCCAGTGGGGCTTGTAGCTAGAAACAGTAAACTAGTGGTAAATAGTCATAAATGCTATGAAGTAAATAAAGCAGGGTGAAGACAGCGAGTAGGGAGGAGAGGGCTTGTAAATATGGAGGGTAGGGTGGGCTTCCGTGATATTTGAGCAAAAGCTCTGCATAACAAGAAGGGGCCTACAATGTGAATGTTGGTCAAGGAATATTCCAAGCAGAAGAAATAGCAGATAGAAAGACACTGAGGCAGAAAAAGATTGGTTTGTTCTGAGAACAGCACAAATGTGGTGCGGCGGCTGCTTGGTGGTCTGGGGAAAACAGTGGAGGAAGCCAGGAGGCAGGGAAGACACGGGAGGTCCTGAGCAGATGAGTGGTGTGAGGAGTCGTGTTTCTAAACAGTGACTCTGGCTCCGTGTGAAGAGTTCTCTCGGGGCGCAAGTACAGAAGCATGAAAACCTGTTAGGAGGCTCAGATACTACTATGCTCACATGTTTAAGGATATAGCAGACAAAACAAAATTTCAGCAGAGATTTGGAAACTGCAAAAAATGACAGCAGTGTTGAAAAGGAGTCAAATTATCCCTGGCTGGTGTGGCTCAGTGGATTGAGTTCCAGCCTGTGAACCAAAGGATCACCAGTTCAATTCCCAGTCAGGGCACATGCCTGGGTTGTGGGCCAGGTCACCAGTAGGGGGTGCGGGAGAAGCAATCACACATTGATGTTTCTCTCCCTCTCTTTCTCCCTTCCTTCCCCTCTCTCCTAAAATAGATAGATAAAAATTTAAAAAAACAAAACAGTGAATGAGTTTATTAGCAGATTAGAACCAAGGAGAGAATTAGTGAAAAGAAGGAAAGAGCAGAATGAAATACAGAAAGGACATGATAAAAGACATACCGGGGACTGTGAGGTGTTCTGTCAGGTGCCACTGGGGGCCAGAAGGAGTGAAACAAATGAGGCAGGAGCAGTTATCAAGGAGATGATGGCTGAGAATGTTCCAAGTTGATGAAAGCTGTCAAGTCACAGCTATAGATGTAAGAACCCTTAGAAATGCAGACAGGATAAATCTTAAAATGCATGTGCGGACACAGCATGGTAATAGAATGAAAGAAAACCAATAAAACAAAACCAAAGCAGTAGTCACCAACAGATTGCTCCTAAAGGACATACTAAAGGGCACCTCTCGGGTGAAGGAAAATTCTAGATGGGAGTGCGGGAGGGTGTAAGGAGGTAAGAAAGAATGAAGAGCAACAATTGTTGCAAATACACACTGTGAGAACAAACAGAAATCTGACCCTGTTAGTCTGTGTCAGCTGTGGGCCGGGCAGGAGAAGGGAAGCACCCAGGTGTCTGAGTGAGAATTTATGTCCTAATGTAACATTTTTAACCCAGCATCAGAGCAGGTAAAAGATACCACAAAGGGAGCGACTGAAGGAAGCAGCTCCCAACCTTAGGATGAATAACTCAGTGAAGAAGTTACTAAGTTCAGGAATTAAGACCAGAGGCCCCACAGATCTGACCTCAGAGCTCGCATGGGCACTGTGCGGTCGGCACTTGTGTCGCGTGTTGGCGGTGGGGCAGTGAGAGAAGTAAGGCCCACGTGTGGGAGAGACCACGGTGAAGGCAGTGGCTGCCCCCTGCAGACGTTGCAGGCCACAGCAGGAGGCTGACGGGAGGGAGCAAGTCTTTCCCTCCCTCCTCCTGCTTTCCAGTCTCCCTTGAGCTTCCACCTGTCTGCAGAGAGCAACGCGGAGCCAGCTGGGTGAGCAGACAGAAGGGGGGTCTGCGGGGTCCCAGGTCGGCGTCCCCGAGCAGAACGTGGAAGGGTGGGTGTGGGCTGAGAGGCAGGAACTCAGAGCCAGTGCCCACAGGCTGTTTAGAGGTGCGGTTCATTTCCACGTGTTTGGTGAGTTGCCTCAGTGTCTGGGATTTCTAGTTCAGTGCGGCTCTGGTCCGTTAGTGCTCTGAGTGATCTCAGCCCTCTGCTGCTTCTTTAGACTTGTTTTAAGACCCACGTTTACCTTAGTAAACATTTCAGTGCACTTGAAAATAATGTATTTCTTCTGCTGTCAGGGGGAACATCCTAGAAATGCTACTTAGGTCAAGTTGGTTGGTAGTATTGTTCAAATCTTCCGTGTGTTTCTGATTTTTCTTTTTGTCTGCTTGTTCCATCAGTTACTGAGAGGGGTGTGCAAATCTGGCACTGTGATCATGCACTTGTCTCTTGCTCCCTTCAGTTCTGTCAGTCTTTGCTTCAGGAATTTTGAAGCATTCTTTTTAGGTGCGTACATATTTAGAACTGTTCCTGTCCATGTTTTTTCAGTAGAACTGTTCCCCGAACCTCTCAGAAAGGCATCCCCAGGTGCAGAGGGCTGCGCAGGTGGACAGCCCGTGGGCCCCGCGGCAAACCGAGCCGTGCCCCCCAGCCTCGAGCTCATGGTCCTGGAGCGCCTGTGTCTGTGGTAGCAGCATAGGCTGCAGAGCCACCCAGCCGAGGTTCTGGGGGCCAGCCTCGCCCTTCACTAGCTGATTCTTGAGGGAACTCAATTTCCTTCCTTTAAACCCTTGCCCTCAAGAGGACCGCCCTGAGGATTGAGCATGACCATGGCTGGGAAGTGCAAAGGCGGTTCCCTGTGGGGAGGCGCCGAACCTCTGCTTCCTGCCTGGACCTGCTGCCCTGACCTGCCACTCACAGTCCTTGTCCTGTCCTCTTAGGCACCAGCAGTCACAGAATCTCTTCGACACTTCCCCAAAGCAGCTCCTGCAGTGGCATGGCATTTCTGTCCCCTCCCCCCCTCCCCAGGGCAGGTGGGGCCAGGGGTACATAGCTTCACCCAGCCTGAAACCTCTGGCTCCTTCTCTGGAGAACTGAGCATCCCCAGTGAGGCGAGTGGTCTGGGGTAATTGAGGGTCTTACCATGGGCCTTTTGCGTTCAGACGCGGGGTTATCCTTGACTGGTAGAGGTGGAGTCAAGAAGGTCATTTCTGACAGCTGCAAGGCAGGAGCCAGAATGCCCCTGGCCATTAACCCTCCTACCGGATAGTGGAGTGGAGATTTCTAGGAGGTGAGTAGCTCACAGAACCAGAAGGGCTTGTCTGACTGGAACCAGGGCCTCAGGCTCTCTCCCCTGACTCTTGTCCTCGCTGTTCTCCATGGTGCAGCCTGCATCCCACAGATTGGGAGGACAGCACCACAGCTGCTCCAGGCTGGGAACATTCCGGCTTAGCAGCCCCAGGGGAAGGAGGGCTTCTCCCCAGCTCCACTGTACACAGTAAAAGGGTTCTGACAGGCAAAGGGATTCTGATTGGTTCATCTTGGGTGACAGAGCCATCCTTTGGGCAAAGCCATTAGGCCAGAGGGATGAGGCACTATGATTAGCCAGGCCTTTATCATGCGCTGACCTTGTGACCACAAAGTAGGAGCATTGTTATTGGCAGCCCTACTATAACCCTGCGGAATTGCAGGGTGGGAGTAGGGAACAGCAACAGTGAGGCTCTTACCCCAAAACCGGGGGGCGATTCAGGGCAGACAGAAATAGCAGGTATCTCAGACCGGTTACATGGGCACTTGAGAAGTCACATTACTCGCTGGGGGCTGATGGGCGAGCACGGTGTCGGTCTCAAGGCAGAGGACTGACGTGTTTGTCGGGCGAGAGTCCCTGTGCCCTGGGGAAGGCCGTGCAGGCAGCCAGCCCAAGGCTTGGCTCTGAGCTCAGACAGGTGCTGGCTTGGAACCTCAGGCAAGTTACCTGCCCTCCCAAGAGCCTCAGTTTCCTCTCTGATAAAAATGAGTCATTTTGGTGAGCCTGTGACATTTTGCCCTATTAAAATTCAGTAATTGCTTATTTCTTCTGTAACTGATTGTTCCAGTGCACCACACCATTCACATGAGCTCAGGAGTCTCTGTTCTGTGTGGATTTCAAATGCTAGGTCCCCAGCCTTGCCCCAGGCACTGGCTGCTGTGCCCCTGCAGTGCCCTAGTTTCCAGAGGGATCCTGAAGGCACTGCAGCGAGAGGGCAGCTGGGGGATCCGGGGAAGCAGGAGTGATGTTAGTCTGGCCCTGCGAGACGGTACGTCCTCTGCTGACTTTGTGACAAGTGAGCGCTGAAACTGTGCGCTGAGTTCTCAGGCCAACCTCCGACCCGTTTTCTGGATCGTAGGAAGAGTGGAGCCGAAGAGAAACTGCGAGTGTGACAATGGCTCAAGTGCTGGAGGACGTGCGGAAGCAGAGGGAAGAGTTCCAGCAACAGGTAGGCCGAAGGGTGATGCCCCCACCTCACTCCCAGGCAGGACCAACCTGCCTCCCCATCTGTCCAGGGCAGGCGGTGGGCACAGGTCTCAGGAATCCTGGCATTCAGGGGAATGTGTGATTCCCCTGAAGTCTCTTAAAAGGTGGGAGGAAAACAGTATAAAGAAACCCTCACCCCATAGGATGGCCTTTTTGATTTGTGATGGTCAGTTATTATTATAAACATCATCTGGGGAAAGCCCATACCCAGGTAGATACTCAGCTCTGATTCTGGGAGGTAGGCCACAGACCACCTGAGCTTTCAGCAGGGAAGGAGAGAAGAGCCTGCCTTTGAAGACAGACTCAGCATTGGCCCCAGACCTTCTAGTGAGCTGGCTCTAGGCCTTGGGTAGGTCCTTAATGGAGCTTCAGGGTTGCCTTTGAAAAGACTCAGATAATCACACCTTCTGAGAGGTCATAATGACGTCATGTGCAGCAAATGCCAGGCATGTCGCAGGCATTCTGGACCGGAAGTTACGGTTATAACAGCTTGTTGGAAGGCTGAACACAAGGGCCACGTTTCTGTTCAGCCCAGTGCAGGCCAGAGGGGCAGTGAGGGTGATTGCCTGTGCGCAGGCTCCCCACCCTGTCCCCCAACAAGGAGAGTTGATTTTTGCATGATTCTGGGAGCAGAGGTTAGCTTGGAGCATGTTCTGGGCTGTGGACTTCAGAGGGGATTCCTGGGGGACTCTGGGGAGTGGAAAAGTAGGGGTTCCTTTGGAGGAGACGGGGTTTCTGCTGCCACCCTTCTCTCAGGTTGATTTTTCTCTCCAAGGCTGCTAACCTGACATCCATAGTAGATGAGAAGGAGCAGAGTCTGCAGGAAAAAAGTGCAGAGATTCTGCAGAAAGAGCAAGAGATTTTCCAGCTGAAGAAAGGTGAGGAGTCTGTCTGTTTCTCCCTGGCCCCTGGCACCCCTGCCCGAGGTGTCCCAGTCGTGAAGCAGTGCGGAGACCCTGGGCTCACAGTGCACCCCTGCCCTCTGCCTGGCCTAGGTCACGAGGCGGCCCTGCTGCAAGCACACCAGCTGCAGAGCGAGCTGGAGGCCCTGAGAAGCCTAAGGGCAGAGGAGTCTGAGGCAGCTGCCGGGTGGCAGGACCGGCTGAGGCTGCCAGGCCAGGAGCCGGGGTTGGCGCTGTCAGTCAGTGAGACTCACCCTCACGTAAGTCCCACGTCAGCCCCAGGCCACGGAGTAGTGGCCACCGTGTGCACTGCAGCAAGACACAGGGCGAAGCCACACTCTGCCAGGAGGAGGCAGCAGTGGGAAGACACAGGGAAGCACACTGGGTTCTCGAGCTAAGGGACAGTGGGCAAGTCACCTCCTCTTGTTTTTGCCTCGTTTTCTTACGGAGGGGCTGCTTGACGGACTCAGAGATTATGAGTCTTGAGGAGGAGCCTGTGGGATGTGCAACACCTGTCAGTGTCCAGGCATCAAAGCCCTTTCCGCCCAGGCGGACGCAAGGCGTGGAAAGCTGAGGGCCCATCTGGAAGGCATTGGGCAGGCTCTTCGTAGTTTGTTTGGTTTTTGGCATAGTGAAGCGCGTCTCTGGGACAGCTCTGATCCCCTTCCCATGGACCTGTGGCTTAGCCCCACTCCTGTCCTGGCTCTCAACTTGCCATCGTCCTACAGGTAGCCTTGAGGGCCATGCAGGACCCTGTGTGCCAGCTTCCGCCTGCGGAGGGGATACCAAATGGTGAGGTGGGGGGCATGGATCTAGGGCAGCTACAGAAGGAAAAACAGGACTTGGAGCAGCAACTTCTAGAGAAAAATAAGGTAAGGATGCTCTTTCCCTCGGCTGTTTATATACCTTCCTTTCCCCGTCCTTGTGCCTAAAACCACTCGGTCCTTTTTGAGAGTTTTTCTGATGCCCCTGGGCACTTCTTGGGGGATCCTCCTTCATTAAAAGGGCTTCTTCCTGGTTTTCCTCTTGTATTTCCCTCCTGCATTTTTGTCTTTCTTCACACTGCCCCACTCCTCACTCCTGCCACCCACCTGAGATCATGTCCAGAGTGTTGGTGCTTGAGCAATACTAGCAAGTCTCGGCGTCCCCAGCCTCCTTGGCTGTCAGCAGCTGGGTCGTGTTGGACCCGCAGGCTCACCTTCCCTGTGTCCTTCCTTTCTGCAGCTGTGAAGGGACAGCATGAAACCTGCCTTCAAGTGTTTGCGGGGGGAGTGGGGATGAGGTGAAACTGTGTGATAGCTGTCCTGCAAAATGTCCAGTATTTGGTAGAGGCTTAATTAGTGATTCCTTGTTTGTGAGTCCAGCCTCCCCACCGGGCCTCAGCACCTGTAAATGCAGGGTCTCATTTGATCCTGGCTTTTAAAGTGCCCTGTGAACTGGAATGTGTGGCTCTAGTTATTGCTCTGGCCTGAAATCCTACCCTCAAACTGTGTGATTGTGTGTGTGTGTGTGTGTTTATATCTTTAACAAAGGGAAAAGGGGTTCATTCTTTTTCTCGTCCTTCTCCCTTCTTTACCCCCTTCTCTCCCCTCCCTTCTCCCTACCCCTATTTCATTTCTTCTCGTAAATACAAAATAGATGCAGAAAAGGGCACAAACACCGTGTGCCCTCAGACCTGCTCTCTGAATTGCACTCCCTCCCTCGGTGGCCTCGCCACACTGCACAGTGCTGGCCCCGCACCCGGCTCAGCTCCATCAGCTCCCGTGACACCACACTCCTGTGTCCATCTGCTCTGTGTCTCCACACAAATGTCTAACTGGCATCTGAAACCTAAAACATCGAAAACCAAACTGCACATTTCCATGCTCCCAGCATCTGCTGCCATCCTCTTCCCTAGAGAATGGTGTTGGGCTTCAACTGGTCTCCCTGTGACTCCTGTGCTCTAGTCCTCTGATGACTTTGATGACATTCGTCTCTCTCTGAAGCCGAGGTCTCTGCAGCGGCCCGTAAAGCTCTGTGTGGTCTGGCCCCTGGCAGCCTCCGCCGCATACTCTCTGCCGTCCCCAGCACCCCTCTCAGACACGTTGACAGGCTTTGCCGTCTGGGAACACTGAGCATCCTCCTGCCTCAGGGCCTTTGCATTTGCTGTGCCTTCTCTCTAGAAAATCCATCCTTCAGTTACCATCACTTCTTATTTATGGTATCACTTTTGTCAGTGAGGCCTCCCCAGCCATTCCTGTCAGCCCTCACCGCCAGAATCGTCTGTCCGCTTAACCTTGGTCTTCTTCTCCACGCCTATTGATAAGCTGCATATTAGGTTTTGACACTTGCCCTCCTGAGGGCAGACAGTTTTTGTTTGTCGATTGCTCTTTCCCCAGCCTCTAGGACAGTGTCAGGCACATAGTTGGGACTCAGTCAATATCTGTTGGCTGAGTGAATGAATGAATGAGCCAAAAACCTGGAAAATCAAGTAACATAAATATGCTTTTGGAGGGATGTCCAGCCTCATGTTCAACCACAAGAACACACATTGAAGCAACATGTCGGCATTTTATACAATGGGAGGTTGGAGGCGGCTCACTGGGCCTGCCGGGGCTTCTGTGCTCCTCCGGCTCAGCCGCTCCTCTGACCCAGTCCTCGCTCCCTCCAGACAGATTGCGGGGACGCCTCTCATGAGAAAACAAAGTGTGTTAGGGCTTTGTTTAAAAACGGAAAGTCAGCCACACAGTAAGATGGGGGTGGGGGGGGGCACCCCTGGAGCTACTGTCCCGTTGAAAGCTTTAATTAGGAAAACTGTAGGAAACTGTGAAAACTCTGATAAATGAAAAATACTGTTCATTTAGAATTTACTCGATGCAAGAATAGTAACATGGACTAGAAATCCACAGGAAAATCTCATTTTGATATGGCACAGTTGTGAGGCTTTGGAGAAAATTTTTATTTAAAAATTTTCCCTGTATTGCTGCTTATATAGTAAATTTTTTTCATTGGGAAAAGTTCAGCCGTTGTAGTGATTAACAGAATGTCTAATAAATTACGCTTAAGATTCACAATGCTAATTAAACTCATTATAAGAAATAAGTAAACCTTATAAAGCCCAGTGTTGGTGGGTTGTGCGGAGATCTTTTACACTGTTCCGAATGAGCACCGAGACCAGGGCACTGCGGGAGAGCAGTGGTGACGACGAGAACCATCTGTTTGGGCTGAGCCCGCGTATCCTCCTTGAGCTCCTAGCCCATAAATGCAATTCCGAAGGGCAGACAGACAGTACAGAGATGTTTCTAGCTGTGCTACTGCGGAGGCAAGCACTGGGAGCAGCCCTGAGACAGAGCCCCAGGGGACTTCCTGGTCCTCTGACCCAGGCTTCCCTGGGGCGTTGGCGAGCTACACAGAGGACGCGTGATGACTGTTGGCCGTTGACTGGCCCAAGGAGCAAGCATGTGCACAGCTGCTCCACGTGCGGGGAAGAGCCGGGACAGCAGGCATACAGGTGTGAGAGGCACAAGCCTCTCAGGAGACAGAGCAGGGACTTCTAACAGGTGTATGGGGATCCAGGAGAAGGTCTGTCTGTTCTGTTGTCCTTTGCACCTTAAAGATGGTGAGACGTGCATTAATGAATGGCTTTTGGCTGGGGTGGGGGCTTTGTTGCAGACCATAAAGCAGATGCAGCAGAGGATGCTAGAACTCAAAAAGACCCTGCAGAAAGAACTGGTGAGTGCCCCTCTTTTCCCGGCTGCCTGTGCCCTCCCTGGCTCCCACTCCCCTGGGTCCCTTGCTGCCTGACAGTGCTTCTCTTTCCCCCCACTGATTGCAAGGGGTCTCTGGGATGTCACATGTTGTCTGGTAGGACAGTGGCCTTGCAAGCTTTAACATGCCTGTGTAAAGCAGCTGTGTGACCTCAGGCATGTGCTTCTTCCCCCCCACCCCCGTCTCCGAGCTTGCGTGTTGTCCGAGAAGTCAGCAAGGTAGTGTGTGCACTGAGCAGAGGGCTGGGTGCAAACACAGGGTGAGCAGGTTCTCTGCCCTGGCTCGCCACCCAGGACACATGTCCTAACACAGATGAAGGGAATGTCTGAACTGCCCCAGGTCACCTCTTTCCCTCCTCGCAAACTGTCCACCCTCGCCAGCCCGCCCTGTGCAGCTTGTGGCCAAGGACCAGCAGGCGATCACAGCGTGGGCCCATCAAGCTCCCATGTGGTTTTCTGACCTGTCCTAAGTGGTTCAATGTAACATCTTTCCTTTGGCCTTTCAGAAAATCAGACCCGATAATGAGCTTTTTGAAGTCCGGGAGAAGCCTGGCCCTGAGATGCCAAACCTGACCCCTTCTGTCACAAATCACACGGACCTGAGTGATGCCCGAGAGGTCAACTTCGAGTACCTTAAACACGTGGTTTTAAAATTCATGTCCTGTCGGGAGTCTGAGGTAATTGCATTTGGGCACCAAGTTGCTCCCCAGGGCCTGGCTCATTTGTCGAAGCCCCAGGCAGCTCCCCCACATCCATTTCTTCCTTCCTCTCCCATGTTCTGGTTTGACCGGAGTGAACACTGAGTCACTTCTCTAGTTGGCACTGACCTGCTGACCGAGCAGCAGGTGGGGTGACCAGAGTCCAGGGAACCGAATCTACCGGCACTCCTGCGCCCTCAGAGGAGCAGGACAGCTGCTGTGGGCGTCCTTGGCATCATGTCGTCTTGCTCGTCCCCCGAAGTGAACGATGGAGGGAGAAGGAGAACCTGGCATTGCAGTCAGACCTGCGCATGGCCGTGGCTTGGTCGGGACCACACGCCAGGAACAGAACCAGGGACACTGCCCATTAGCCCTTGCTCACCCTCCCGACCTGGACCCGAGGCAGCAAACTTCCTTTGTTTCAGGCTTTTCATCTTATAAAAGCTGTGTCGGTGTTGCTGAACTTCTCACACGAGGAAGAGAACATGCTCAAAGAAACCCTGGAGTACAAGGTATGTTCCCTAGTTCACTGTGTGGCTTCCCAAAAATGTAGTTAGTGACCCCAGCGCTGGCAGGTGAAGGCAGCCCACGCTGCCGCAGCAGATTTGACAGTGCTTTTGGATGAGCTTGCTGCGGGCAGTTTCCTGAGGACATGCTCTCTGAGCTCAGGTCTGTGCCGGACTTGGCCAACAGGCCTTGTTTTCCAAAGTGGTTTCATTGGTATCACTTCATCAATAGCTCCAGGTCTGGCCCCGCACCCAGACTTTAAAAAAAAAAGAGAGAATATTCAAACAGTACCTGCATAAATTCTATAATAGAAAAAATTTCAAGAAAAACTACCTACAACTTTAGCCCCTTGCTTTTGTCAACTTCTCCAGTTTCTCTCCCTTTACTTAGAATGTAGTGACCCACACACTGGTCATACAGCCGCTGTCTTCACTGCTGTGAAGGTCACAGGTCACGGCTGCAGTCAGGATGTATGGAGGGCGTGAGGGGGTGGTGCAGGGGCCCCGAGCAGGCTCTTTCAGCTCCCTCTGCACCTAGACCTGATTTTCATCTCAGGAGCCTTTCCTGTTTCAAACGCAGATGTCCTGGTTCGGGTCCAAGCCAGCTCCCAAGGGCAGCATCCGGCCATCCATCTCCAGCCCTCGGACACCATGGTCCTAGATGAAACTACCCAAGGATGGAGCTCCACGGGCTGACACTTTTTCTGTGAAAAGAACACTGACACACCAGTCTGGGTGGGTTTTTAATCACTGTAACTGCAGTATTTTGTACAAGTGTCTAAACATTGTTTACAAGACTGAAGGTCCACTTCCCTCAGATTGACATGAATGAACCTCAGGAGGTAGCTGATCCTGTCATTCTGGTCACAGATGGGAAGGTCCTGGCACCACCCACATTCCTAGTGCTGCTGAAATCTCGGTTCCGGCCAGCAGGTCCGCACCTGAGTTTCTAACCTTTGTTAGTGCTTAAAGCCGAAGCATCAGCATCTGGCAGAGAGGAGGCCGCGGAGCCATCTTGTAGCGATGGTGCTGGGTGTCGGGAGTGCCCTTTCCAACGGTGTCCGGCAGGCTGGCTCACCGCTTCTGCCAGGAGCCCACTCTGGGGGAGGTGGCTTTTAAAAATTCCCCTTCCCTGTTGGGATGTTTGGGTTCAGATGAGTCAGAGAGGTTTTTGACCTTTCCTCTCAAGAAAACATTTTACCTTGTTTCTAAAACAACCTAGAAATGTAATGTGTACATCCTCAAGATCTGGAGTCAGTGTGGATTAATGAATATGCGGATGACAGTATCTCGTTTACTGATGAATACTAGCAAATACATAAAAAGATCCTTAGTACCAAATACCCTCAATTGCCTTCTTAATGAATGTACTTGTCTTGGATAGGTTGCTGGTAAACCATTTTAAACTATTTTTTATAGCTAAGTTCTTCACCATTACAAACATGTCTTCTGTATTAGAAGGGTGTTCTTACGGAAAACTGGAGCATCAGGACAAAATTATTTCTAAGGTTGGGATTCCTGTCCCTTTGTAATTTCACTAGCACTCTGTAGCACCTGCTTCCCTCTGAAGCAGTGGTGGCGGTTCATTTGCTTTGCTCTTGATTCTGGGTTGTAACACTGAGCAGATGCTAATCACAGGTTTTCTACTGTTAAGGACAGTCTGCTGTACTCAGCCGTTGTCCCTCCCCCCAGCCTTGACCAAAACATTGGAGGTGGTTTGCCTTGTACTGGCGCCACCATCTCCCCCCCCACCCTCCCCCCAATATTTAAGACACTACATTCCTATATGGTGTCCAGACAGCCTCCCGCTGGCTGCAGATGACTGGTGGAGACTGACAAAGACTTGGATTACTACTAAAAAGGGGAAACATGCCTGCCTTGGATAAGCCACGATACCAAATCAAGAGAAAGCTTTTACTGATTTAGTCTGATGAGTTTCACTGGTTAAAAAACTGAATTAGTAACCAGAGCTCCTAAATTTATCATCATTATCCCATGATGGGAAGTTATATCTCTTCAAAGATGCTTAGGGTTAACACATATAAAATGTATCTCAACAGAAAAACGAGGGTTTGCAGAGTTAGCCTGCATTTCCACAGACCTGCAAGTACCAAGCAAGGATGGCACCACCTCTGTCCCAGCTTAGGCTCGCTGCCACCCACGTGAGCTGTTCTTCGCTTACCTACCTCTTTCCTGCAGATGTCTGTCCTGTTTAGAATGAATGCAGAGTTCCATTTACCTGTTGGGGGCACAAAACAGGGCTCCCTTCTGTTCTTTAAGTTTGATGAGGAAGATGTAGCTTTTCCAGCTGTTTCCAGAGAATCCTGAAATTCAAGTGATTCAGGGCTCGCCAGAGGCAGCTACGGCCTGGCTCTGGAGCCCCTCCAGCACCTCCATAGCCTCTCTAGCCCTCCAGCTGGTCTTGGCCCCTACCTGCGTTCCTGGCAGGTTTAGGTGTAGATGTGGGGCCGTCATTAAGTCTGGACTTGCTTAGAGAGGATTCACTTCAATGAGGCTTTCCTCTTGCATGTTGAACTTCCTTCAGCTTTAAGAGGAAGAGTGGAGTAACAACTCTAAGTGATTTAATGCACTTTCACTTGTATAAACATTCTGTGATAGACAGTATATATAGCCCTTTATAAGCATTGGATCTTCTCTCCTTCCATTTGTAAATAGAGATTATATTATCTAAAACTGCTGTAGAAAAGTCACTTTGTGGTGCAATATACTTTTTGATTAAAGCTCTTCAATCCAAATGCAACTACAGTGGGTTTTACTTGATACAGTATGGTGTTGATATTTCTTTTACTCATTCTAAATCCTAGTACATTGTATCTTGTATACTTCAAGGGCCACAGAGCACTCGTCTTTCAGAAAGAACCTCCCCAGATAAGGTTTGGGTGAGTAAATATATGCAGCTAAGTGAGCCAGCAGCCTAGGCCTACCTCCCAAGAATGGTGGGGGTTCCGCAGAGGAGTTGGGAGCATTGTGTCCCTTCGGTCCATGTCCATGTCCAGGGCCCATGTGACTGGGGAGAGCTTCAGGATTATGAATGGGGTCCTTACCTTCACCAGAAGACAGACTAGCTGCATGTGCTAAAAGGAAAAAGTGTTTTTATATTCATAGGCTGACTGCTACCTTTTTCTGGTTTCAGTCCTTTAAAGAGAACATGCCGACTTCAGGATGCGAGTGCTGCCGCCACACAGACCCAGTGTCAGGAGATGGTGGCCAGGCCTGCCTGAGGCCCGCTCTCGACAGCCTCCCAGTGCAGTCACACAAACTAAAGACTTTTAAAGCCTAGGACAATTATTGAATGTTTGGCACTTTATTAAATTAAATACGCTCCAAAATTACATACAAATCAAAGGAGTAAAAACAATAAATACTTATTCAGCAAAACATCTCCACAGCAGCCGCAGCACAGTAGCCCAGGCCAGAGGCACTGCTGGGCAAGAGGCTGAATGGCCTCGCTTGCTCCCCGGGGGAGGTTCCAGAACAGTCGATCCCTCATTCATTACCGTCCCATTCACTACCACTTTTTTTACATACATGAGACACACCGCAAAGTATATACTAATAAGCCAAGAGCTTTATTGATGCAGCAGGCACTTTACAATGAACCCAAGAGAGCCTGCCTTCTCTGGGAGGATGGGACGTCTGTACAAACCCCCAGGGGGGGTCTCACTCCAGAAACTCCAGCTCGCCCTTTCACGGCAGCCCTTGGATCTGCACCTGCCCCAACCATCCCTCCCCCATTTTAAACAGGCAGTGCCCACAGACACACCTGACCAACAACGGTGGCCAGCCACTCTGGCAGACAGTCACAATGTCAGTTCTGCATTATTCGTGGACAAAGGCATAGACTATCGATCCTGCAAAGGATTTAGGAAACAGTAAGACAATTTCTCCCTCCACCTTGAAAATAAAATACACTTCAGCGGATGCACGTCCCGAAACAGTTGGGAGTTCCTAGGAAGGTGGTCCATTGTCAGTCCCTTCTTCACCAGCCTGTGCATCCAAAGTTCTTCTCAAGGTAACATGAGTCTCTTTTTTTAAACAGTCTTTCTTGCTGTAAGAACTCTTATAATGGAGCCTAGTCCTCCTACTGCTAATGCCTGTGGGGGCAGGAAAAGGAAACGTGTCAAATGGACCTGGTTGGACAAGGGGGAGCTTGGCTTGCCAGGGGAGACAGGACGATGCCCTCCCTGACCGACGTCCCACCACGGCACAGACCTGAAAAGGGTTCCTACGAGAGCATGGGCGCAGTTAGAAGGCCCACACTCCAGGGGCACAGCCCAGTCCTGGAGCCAAGCACACATATGACAGAGCCCCCCCAAACTTCCCCTTTGACAAGCTCACTGTTTCCAGCCTGCTGGCACTGCCGCAGGGACTGGAACCAACACATGCCCATCAAAGCTATCTCATGGAACCCATCTTAGAAATGGCAGCAGGGCCCTGGCTGGTGTGGCTCAGTGGACTGGCTGCTGGCCTGTGAACCAAAGGGTCATTGGTTCGATTCCCAGTCAGGGAGAGCCAAAGGGCATGCTTGGGTTGCAGGCCAGGTCCCCAGTAGGGGGAGCACAAGAGGCAACCACACACTGATGTTTCTCTTTCTCCCTTCCCCTCTCTGAAAGTAAATAAATAAACCCTTAAAAAAAAAAAGGAAATAAAAAATGCCAATAGGGCTGGGCACCCAGCTGCCTTAAAGGGCTCCCCTGGCGCCTACACTGCAGCAGGCTTGCTCAGTTCCCCCAGCACCACAGCCACCCCATTCGAGCCCAGGAGCTCACTCTCTGGTGGAGCAGGCAGCATACCCACCACAGGACCGAAGGCCACAATCCCAGCCCAGCACTGAGGCTGCCCAAGTGACTGACGCCCTAGTAAGAGAACCACTTCCTTAAAACACAGTGAAGCCCTGGCTGCTGTAGCTCAGTGGATTGAGCGTGGGCCTGTGACCAGACCACCGCGGTTCGATTCCCAGTCAGGGCACATGCCGCGGGCCAGTTCCCAGCAGGGGACGCATGAGAGGCAGCCACACATTGATATTTCTCTCCCTCTCTCCTTCCCTTCCCCTCTAAAGATAAATAAATAAATAATTAGACCCAAAACAAAAACCCCCGCAATGCAGTCCTCCTGAAGAACACGGTCAGTGACAGCCTGGCCTGCCATGATGGTGGGCATGCTTCCTGCAGCTCCGGGTGAGGGGACACTGACACCCAGGCAAGGCCCCGGCTTGAGGAAAAGCCTTGCTCTTGTGCTACCCTGAGCAAAAGACAAGCACAGCTTTTCCTGCTTCAGGTGAAGGCCCCTTCAAGTGACTGTCAAGGTTCCTGCCACTGCCCACTTCGGCCTGGTAAAGGCTGGGGCCAGAGCAGGAAACCCTGAGAGCTAGCTGGCCGGGTCAGCACAGTCCTAAGCGCCCCTGCCCCACCACCTCCACCAAAGCCAGGAGGAGTATTATAAAGCCCCCGCCACCGGCAAGCCTGCCTCCCTCCACCTGGAACATGCCAAGCCACCTGCCCCATAACCTGCCTGGCATAAATCAGCAGCTAAAGCAACGGTGATCACCAGAGACAGTGGACCCCTACCAGTGCGTCCTTGGCAGAGGTAAGCGACCAAATGCCCCAGGTTGCCTTAGGTGTGGCCACATGTCCTCACACGCCTAGCGTGGGTTTTCCACGTTTGTTTGGAAAACCTGGCCTGCTGCTTTGAATCCTGGGGCTGGGGTGAGTTGGTGGGCTGCCTGGTGGGCAGTATGTTCACATACCTTTTCATGCCACTGGAGTAGCACTGCGCTGCTATTTTCTGAGGGCTTCTCAAACCCTTTATAAATGTACTTCATTAGCAAGTCAATGCCATTTCTGTCCAGTGACTGCACAGCCTGCTCGATTTCGCTGCTCTTAAAGTTTGTGAGTACTTTCAGCACCACGCCCTGGGCTCGTTCCTACAGAGGAAAGAGAAGGGGAGTGAGGCCCAGGGCTGAGGCCCAGGCACATCCTCACCCCCCACGGCTGGCCCAGCAACCCCCAAACCAAGTGGCCAGAGCTCAGTAGAAACACCACATAATTTCTAATTTGTCTGGAATACTTAAAAAACAAGAGGGCAGAAGTTCTTTATTGATTTAAATGTCAAAGCATCCCTTATGCCAGCAAGTCACTCCACTACCTGGGGGGGACAAGTCGGGTTAACCGGGGAGAAGCATCACCACCTCTGATGAGACTGGCAAGGCCTCAGACTCCACAGGAGCACGGCTGGGGAGATCTATTTTTTAAACAGATTTATCAGGCTGCAGCTTCCCTCTGCGTTCACCCCAGTAACAGGGGCCATTCCCCTCCACGTTTAAGAGGTGCAGCCATTGTTTACATCAGGGTGCTGTCACGAAACGGCAAAATGCCAGCTTCGGACACCCCTTTCCCTGGACCAAATCCTAGCTGTAGTGAGGAAATGTTAGCCTCAGCGATGCAGTAAGCACAACTCTATCTTCTCACCCAGTTTTTAAAAGGCAGGAAATCTTAAAAGCACTGAGAATCCTTATGCAAATAAAGCCTACTCAATACCTATAAAAGCATAACCACTGATAAGTCTCGCACGGCAAGCTAGCTGTGCTCATCAGCGAGGGCTGGGCCGACTTCTCACTCCAAGAGGCTCTAGGGAGGAGTGAACAGTTGCTTTGGGGAGCTTTCACTACAAACACTGATAGCTTTGATGTCAGGAACACCAGGTGGCTTCTGAGGAAGCGCTGCCCAGTGCCAGCTCGCTCCCTTGGTAGACACTCACTGATGCAGAGGTAGAACTGCTGCTGCCCGGGCCCAGGGAGCTCATGCTCGGCTGGAGACAATGACAGCCCTGTCCCAACACCCCCCAGCACGGCTGCAGCGCAACCTCCTTTACCTTCACAGCTTGATTCTTGGTGTTGACGGGAGAGTTCCGTAAGGCTGCATGGAACGCCCGAAGCATGTCCCCTGTGCACCACCACCAGTTAAGGACGGCTAGGCTCAAGCTTGTCCGTGGTTTATTAATGGACTCATCTCAAAAACAGCTCAGGACAGTGCAGTCAAATGGCATCTTATCCTCATCCACCCACCTCCCACTGTGGCTTCCAGGTGGGCACAGCCTGTCAGAGGGCAGCCCTAGCTTCCCCGAGCCACACAGAGGACAGAGAACACCTCTGCCAACCCTGTGTGTCCCTCCCTCTGCCATCTCCTAACCTGCCCCCCTGGCAGCAAGTCTGGACTACCTTCCCTCCCTGTCCCTGGAAGGTAGTAGCAAAGCCAACTGCCCCTGAGGGGTAACTTACAGCAAAATCTTACTGGGCTCGCTTGCACCAACTCAGTATATGCCCGTCTCTGCCCTGCTGGATCCTCACAACAGCTGTGTGAGGTTATCACCCTCACCTTCTCATTCTCAAAAGGGGAAAACAAAGGCACAAACCGAGGTCTTCTCACTCTTAATGCAATGTTTCGTGAATCGATGTACCTGCTGAGCTAAAGCCAGCCCCCTAATGCAATGTTCTGATCAGCTGAACTATTAAAAAAATTAAGATGTGCTGAAACTTCCCTCTTCCAAGACCTTCCCAGGCCAACAAGGTCCCAAATGCTACCAGGAGGGAGATTTATTCGTCCATAAAAACTTTTGCCAAAAAATGAGACAATCCTCCCCCATTCCCCAAACCTTAGCTGCAACCCTGATTCTTTGCTGAGTTCTAAATAGCTTCTACTCGAAAGATAATTACAATCTAGGTTAGGTCCCCGAAGGTGACACCTATTTTAAACTGAATTACATCAGCCAACTCTCATTTCCTCATCTGAAACACTGGCTTCAGCCAAAAGGCTTCAAAAATAGAACAAGGAATGGCTTCTGTCCAATCGGCTCTCTACTCCTGTTCATGCAGCGATACCCACGTGTAAACAGGGCCTCCAGAGCAAAGCTGTCCTGCCTGCTCTAGCATGGGCTCCATCTTCACTGAGTGGGGCCCACACCACCCCAAAGCCACTCCTGCCAAGCTCCTGGCTGCCTGCTGGGCTCCGAGAGGCAGCCCACCCGCCTCTCCGTCAGCTTTGGAATTCCTCTTCCCCAGCCAGGAGAGGGCCAGTCTGTTATCAGCCCCAGATAACTTCTACCTCAGAATTCTCCTCTAATTTGGTGCCCCAGAGCCATAAGCAGAGACTCCGAGGCTTAAAAGGAAACATAGGCTGGTGCTCTTCACTACGTAGCACGGCTGGCAAACAAAATTGTTTGGAAGGGTAGGATGACTAGTCCACGGGTACAAAAAGTCACTGCTTTAGCACTGCCTCTCTGCAGCGCCAACCCACCAAGCATTCACTGTAGGTGCTGATGGACAGAGGACCTTCTGCAGCTGAGGAGGTACGGGGTGCAGGGCGGGCATACCATGTACCAGGCTGGCGAACCCTGCCCAGCCCCTAGTCTCTTCTGCATCAGAGTTCCTCAGCCATGGCACCACTGACAATTTAGACCAGATGACCCATGTGGCATCTGTCCTATGCACTGGACAGTATTTAGCAGCATCCCTGGCCTCCTCCCTTTGGATCCCTGTACCACGCCCCAAGCCATGACACTGAAAATGTCTCCAAACACTGCCAAATTTCCTTGGGAGCACGAGAGGGCAGAATCTCTCAACACCACTACTCTGAACAGAACCCTGCTCCCGAGGACCAGAAGGTGGTGATTCAGTGAGGAAGAAAAGGAACTAATACTATTTTTTAAAATCTCTGCAAGGACTCAGATCCTGTACCAAGTGCTTTCACATGTTATTACTGCTAATGACTATTTGCTGTTTGCAACAAAAATCATCATTCTCATTTTAAAGGCAATGAAATCGAGGCTCAGCGAAGGGAAGTGACCTGCTCAAGGTCACGAAGCTAACCTATCTAGCCGGCCTTCGAGCCCAGTATGCCTGCTCCCAGAGCCAACTCTTTTCACCATCTCCTGCTTCGCTCTGTCCACAGACCCACGTCACATGTCCAAAACACCTGCTGTATGCCTAGCAGGGTGCTGAAGCCTTCTGGGATGTTGTCTAGCGATGCTGTCACAGAACCTGAAGGCAGTATGATTCTCCTCCTTTTCACAGAGGACACTGAGCTTCAGAGAGGGTATGTGAGTTACTCAAGGTCACACAGCGATGGCATGGCAGAGCTGGGTCCGTGCGGATGCACAGCCCATGCTCCTTTCATTTCATCTGTGTTATCTCCCACCGTGACTCGTTTCCATACACAGCCACGGAGGCCTCCTTCCTACACTTCTCCACTCCAATCAATCAACCCCTATTTCTACTCCCCTCACCTCTGTCCTGACTCCTAGAAGCCTGTTCTATAGTTTAAATTCAACTATAATATAGATCTAATATAACATCAATACCTGACACAAGGTAAGGACTCAATCAGTATTAGTTCTTCCTCCCTCCCTGAACCTCACATTTGCTAGGATTTCAGTTCTCACCTGCTAAACTGCCTTTCCCCAGGCCCTAGAGGTACACTCTCCAGAGTAACAAGGCTCCTGACATTACCAGCGGTGGAGAAACTACCACCTCTGCATATGCTGCTCCTAGGCCTCCACGCAGCCTCAAGAAACCCATCACTAGTCAGTGGCATACAAGAGATGACCTTCAACAAGTCCCTACAGCACATCTTGTTCTCCCCCTCTGTGGTGGTTCTGGGCCACAGGCCTGACCCGCGGCCCATTTGGTACCACTTGCCCAAGCGTGAGGTCCTGCACCAGACTGCAGAACCCACCATCCCACAGAGGGGCCCACCTCATGCCACCACTTCACCAAAGGAATCCTGATGGGGCAGGAAATACAAGTTTGTACCCCACCTTTGAAAAGTTTGAAGGGTTTTGTTTTAAAGGCACACTGGAAGAACACTGCAGTACTCCTCCCAAAGGCAGTCTGTGGGCCTGACTTCCCAAGCTGAGTCGACGGATCAAACACTCAGAACCTGATTTATATACAGCATGAGCCTTCAACCCTGCCCTGGCAAAGTGCGGGGGAGGGGCAGGCACTTCCTGTAACACCATTTGAATAAAGAAAAATCCTCCCTCTGAGAATAACTCAGTTTCCTGTGTTCAAACTGCTAAGGGACCAAGCAGGCTGCGAAAACCACCTCTAATTTTAATCTTGTTTTCTAAAGGCTCGTTTGCTGCGGCCACAAAAATAGTCATTTCCAGTCGTGGGGCTCTAGTTTTACATTTCACATTTTACTCTCTGGTTTTTCTTAGCTCCAAACTACTAGTTTTCCCCACTGCTTTCTGCACAAGAAGGCTGGGGGGGGGGGGGCAGCCAAACTCACTTGTTGAACATAGCTGAGGCCATCAAGGTCCCAAACCCAAGGTGTCCCTAGGAAGCTGAGAACAGGTGAGAAACACCGGCATTAAGCTGGAGGGTCAGACGGATTTGGGAGTGAGAGGTAGAAAAGTCTAGTTAGTCTCAGCCTTCAGGGCTGCACTAAGGCTTGAGCCTTCGCTGCCCGCGTCCTTTCTTTCCCGCAGCCACACACTCACCTATTTTCATGTGGTGCTGCAACTGGGCCGAGAGGACTGTGCCCAGGAGCCGCCCAGGCCACTCAATTACTCAGCGGTGGCTCACCTCCGCCCCTCCCGCCGGTGAAGCCCGAGCTTGACCCCATTTCCTGCAAGGGAAGGATGGAGCGATGGAGCGTCCAAGGAACGGACAGCCTGAGGAGATGAGGAGGCACGGGGAAAGAAAAAGAGAGGCCTCGCGGAGGAGTGAGCGGCCTGCGGGGCCGGAGGCGCGTCCGGCACGCTCCTGGAGCCGCGGAGCACGCGGGCCCACCAGGGTCTAGGGACACCGTGGGGCCGAGCTGCTGAGGGAGGTTTTGAGGGCCGGGGCCAGGAACAAGAGGAGTGGGGAGGCGAGCCAGAGGGAAGTGGGGGATATTCGGACGGAAGGAACATGGACCGAGGGGAGCCGGATCAGGAGTGGGGAGACTGACCAGGGGGGCCGGGGAAAAGGAGTGGAGAGTCAGCCTGAGGGGCCGGGGAGGAGGAAAATGGGAAGGCTGAGCCAAAGAAGAGCCCTAGCCGCCAAGCCGGGGAAGGATATTGCCGCAGGAGACCGTCCACCTCGCTAGGGTCCGGGCCTGGCTCGCCTGCTGCCGCCGCCGCCTCCTCCTGCTCGTCCACAAATTTGTTCTCGTCAAACTCGTCGATGTCCACCCGACGGAAGCGCGAGGACAGCGTGTTCCGGGCCATGGCGGGGGCTCGGCGCCCGCTCAGCCGACTCAGCTCCGCGCCCGACCTCAGGTCCACTCGGCTCGGAACCGGCTCGGGGGCGGGAAGCGTTCGTCCGGCACTACGTCCACCTCCTCCGCGCGTAGCCGCCGCCCGCCCACTTCCGTCCAATACCGGAACCGGAAGCACCGGCGGGGAGAGGCGGAGCCTGGCGGGGGCGCGACTAGAAGCAGTCGGCCACCCGTTTTGCAGTTTCCCGGGGCGACCCCCGCCAGACTCTCATCTTCATTGGCCCAGCATTTTGAACGCCACTACTGCGCTCGTTCTTTGGCTTCTCTCCTGCATTGAAGGAGCCCCTGACCCTGGAAGGGGCTAGCACAGGCACAGCCCCGGACTCCCTGGGTCATCACTGCCAAGACCGAGGGACCCCCAGGAGAAACCACGTGATTCTTCCTGTTGAGTGCCAGGCAGGATTCTTGGAGAAGAAACCTTCGAGCTGAGGCATGAGTAGTAGTTCTTTTGCTCTGGTAATGAGGGGGGTTGCGGGAGCCTAAGTCTCAGACTTTAGGAGACTTGAACGTCACCACGCTGTGCTGAGAGGAGGTGGCCTCTGCCTTGTACACCACAGAGACCCTCTTATAAACGGACTAGGAAAATTTAAAGACGTTTAAAAGTGTATTTAGGGTGCTGACAAATAATGAAGACCTTTGGACTTGAGGGTGCTGTGGCCCCGTATATATAGTAGTCACCTTGGCCTGGCGGGAGTGGAGGTGAGGAGAGATGACTCTGGCCACCATCCTGGCAGGAAGGGCGAGGTTCTAGAGGCCAAGAAGTCGGACCTGACGGGAGAGGCATATCCTGGCAAGAAGCCCAGAGTCTGAGATGAGAGATAGGGGTGAAGGAGGTAAGGCACAGTCAAAGACGAGTCTGTGGTTCCAGGATTAGGTGCTTAGGCTGTTGCTTGAAGGGTTCCATTAATAGGGCTTAGGCTTGGACTAAATTGGGTCTTTGTTTTCATAGAATAGTGCTTTCTAATAAAGACCAATAGTTAATGAAATGGGACTCGTTTTATTGCTTTGAGTATTTCTAATTGAACCGTCTCTGCAGATCAAAAAAAAAGATGCCAGACCATGATGCTACCTGATCTTGGGTACTAAAGATACAGACTCTTTCATGGGAAATAGATGCTGAAAAGCCCCAAGGGTCCTGGAAATAGGCAAAGCCCACCTGTCTTTCAACTCCACACCTTGGGATAAACCTTTGTGACTCAGGCAGGCCACAAGACAGCAGAAATTCATATCCTGTCCCCTACTGCAGAACATCCTGGTCAGGATGGACCAGAAACGCCCATTTTACAAAAAGGAAATAGCCTCCAAATAAACTGGTGAATGAAATAATGTCCCTACTTATAATTGTGGACCCCCACTCCAGTCAGGGACAGAATTTTAAAGATCCATACTATATTATGTCAGGGATGACTGTGTACTGAGGGAGAAAAATCATGCAGTGCCTGAGACAGAACCTTAGAGAAACTGGTCAAGGGAGGTAGGTGTCCCTTAGAAGGGACCTGAAGGAAATGAAGGAGGGAGCCAAGCAAAGGCCCTGAGGCAGGGCAAGCTTGGTATATTCCAGAAACACAAGGCCATACTGGAGCAGAAGAATGAGAAGAGAGATGAAAGTGGGGGGGTGCTATTGGGCTTCATGGGGTGAGGATGTCTTAGAGCAGATGGGACAGCCCTGGAAATTCTGGGCCGAGCAGTGACATGCTCTGACTTAAGTTTGAAAAGGATCCTTCTAGCAGCTGTATTGAGAACACATACGGAAGCAAGAGCCAAAGTAGAGAGATGATTTAAGAAGGGACACCAACAATCCAGAGGACAGGCAATGTTTGCTCAGACCAGGCAGGTGCCAATAAGGAGTGCTGGGAGGAGTGCAGGTATATTGTGAAGGTAGAGGCTACAGAGTTTGCTGGTGGATTGGATGTGGCATGTAAGAGCAATGGAAGTCAAATGACTTCAAGTGTAGAAAGATGTATATAATCATTAGCTCTAACAGAAGTATATGCACACAGAGCAAAGTCCCTGCACTTTTTGACTTCTGTTTAAGACTAATTCATGCCAGCATTGCACACTCTGCCCTCTTCTCCCCATGTACCTCCACTTCTTAAAAGTCTTTCTCATTGTAACCTGGGGCAAGGCTCATTCATTCATCCAACAGGCATTCACAGGCTGGGCGTGGAGACTAGAAACACCAAGTCAGGTGTCAGCTGTGGTTCTGCCCCCAGAGAACTTTGCAAACTGGCTGTGGAGACAACACATAAATATCATTTTTAACTCAATATATTGGAGCTAAAGAAAGGATTGCACAGAAAACTTGGAACACAGTCCCGTGTCACAATTTATTCCAAGGCTAATGCCCATTAAATGAACCCCAGAAGGGGATGGGAGAAGATGCCCCTGGAGGTGGTGACACCTGACAGCAACAAGGGGGCAACCTGTTATTAACTAGAACTCTTAAGAGGTGTTGGTGTGTCTTTGTTGATGGCGATGGAGTGACACTGGAGCACTGATTCATGCTTGCTGGTTAGGAAAACCATGAAACCGCCCAGCCTGAAAGCCTGAGTACTCTCCTGCTTTGTGAATTCATTCCCCTTTAAGTTTCAGGGCCCAACTCAAGTGTTCATTCCACTGGGTGGGAACGTTATTACTGATGGTATTTTGAGCGACTTTTACTCATCAGATTTTGTGAGAAGTTTTAAGTGTTACCTTCCTAATTCTCATAAATACCCCCGTTCCACAGGTGAGAAAACTGAGACTCAAAGAGAAGAAGGTATTTGCTGAGTCTCAGCCAGAACCAGGCGACAGAGCAAGAGTCTGAAACCCGGTCGGTTTCACTAAATAAGGACATGCATTTTCCTTCCACACGCTGCCGCCACTAGAACATTTATGGAGTTGGATTTCGGCTGTTTAACCCCGTCCCTCCCCGCCCACCTCGGACTTTACTCCAAGGCTGGAGCCTTAATTCATCTTCGAAACCCCTAAGATTCCATATTATATATGCCCTCCATCCACAGAACATGCGCGCCCTGCTCCGAGTAGCCCGAACTGCGGGACCTGCAAAGATTTACCGAATGAACAAATACATGACTGAATATACGAATTTGAATCCTCACTATGCCGTGTCTGGTAAAGTGCCTTTCCCGTGCCTCGGTCTCCCCGACTGCTGTGCTCGTAGGGTGAGGCAGCCCTAAAAAAGTTCGGAGGCCGGAGGAAGACGAGGCAACTACAGCAGGCGGCTGAGCGCGAGGTACCACTGAGCTCCTCGCACCGCTGGGGTGGGACTGGCTGGGGCGGAGCAGCAGCTCCTCTGCTGCGGTGCTATTGGCCGCGCCCGCCGTCACCCGGCAGTAGTCGTGGAGGTCAGCCCCGCCCCTTCCTCTTTCTCTCCTGGCTGGCGGCGGCGGTTTGTTCAGACATGGTGAGGGCTGTGAAATCGGGTGCCATCTGCGGGTTGTGGAGTTCGGGAGCTGGGGCGGAGTGTGCGGGGTGACCCCTAGGATCCCATCTACCACCCGGGTCTGTAGGGTACTGTGCAGAAAGGCCTGGCGCCACCACCGCCAGCCTTCTTTCGACCCGTGCCGGCCTGGGCTAGGAGAGGTGCGTGCGCGCTTCTGGGGCTCCGTCTTGCAGTCTGCGGAATGGGACTGGCGGCCCAATCTCGGCGTAGGCCTGGGCCTCGGTTACCCAGCGCGAGGCGCGCGCACTCCTGGGAGTGGCCAGGAGGACCCAAGCTGAGAGGAGGGGATGGCTGGTGGAGGCCTCTGTGAGCGGCGGAGGGCGAGACGTAGCCCCAGGGCATTTGACCCAGACCCTTTCTTGCACGCAGGCCAAAATTAAGGCTCGAGATCTTCGCGGAAAGAAGAAGGAGGAGCTGCTCAAACAGCTGGACGACCTGAAGGTGGAACTGTCCCAGTTGCGTGTCGCCAAAGTGACAGGCGGCGCGGCTTCCAAGCTATCTAAGATGTAAGGGAAGGAGAGACGGACCACAGTCCCCTGGACCGGGGGGGGGCGGGGGTGAGGGGAGAGGAATTTGTCCTCGGGAGCATGTGTGGATTTTTGAAGTTGTCGTAGGAGCTGTCCGCTTATGTGCCCATTCAATGGTTCTGTGGTTTGGAATGTAACTAAGCCCACCTGCTAGGAGACCCGCTCCCTTTACCTGCCTTTGCCCCTGTGGTCCTTTTGCCCCGAGTGCTCTTGTTCAGCTTCTTTGGCTGGTGAAAGAGCAGGGTGTCCCTGAAGACCCATTTAATGCTGCTTTCAAAAACCCAACTCAACATTTTCTTTCACCTCCCATGAGCACTTGATTTTTTTCCCCCTGAATTGGTAGGTGGGTGCTACTCAGCATGACTGCAGATTCATCTGGTTCCCAGCTGCAGGCTGTCCGCTTCCCCATATCGTTTCTCCCTCCCAAGTGGCTCCTGCTGCATCTCCTTAAGCTTCCCCGATTTGCCCAGCTTGTGGCATGATTCTTCCTGGTCAGCTCATTAAGGTGGGCATTGGCTAGGTTGGCTTCATAGCCCTGGGGATGTATGGCCTGGGATGGAAGAGTTTTCTTCCACCACTTTTCATTAAGTCACCTGAGTGAACGCTTCACAGCTCCCAAAAAGCACTGGGCACTCCAGCCCTTCCCAAGTCCCATGCCTGGGGTACCTATATACTGTAGTCTCCCCAGCTTTGCCTTCCTCCCGGGCTGGGTTAGGTGCCCCTTGGATAAATATGGACCAGCTGGTGGGGAGTGCCTCTGCCCTATGAGATTAGGGTCAGGCCCTGAATGACATGCCTTGGGGAGCACTGTTTGTCTTCGCTGTCATCACCAATGTCCCTGTTTTTGTAGCCGAGTTGTTCGCAAATCCATTGCCCGTGTTCTCACCGTCATTAACCAGACTCAGAAAGAGAACCTCAGGAAATTCTACAAGGTGAGTGGGGATGCCCAGCTATAGAGAACAAAGTACTAGCCCCCCTTTTGCCCAGGGGTTGGCATGCGGAGTTTCTTCTGGTGGGGTGTGTGAGGCAGGGCTTTGCCCAGATCTCGTTGGGCTTTCTAGAGCCTTCCCAGCTTGTAGATGGGTTTGCCTTTTTCCTAGCATGTGGTATGCAGACCACGTTTCCTCAGGGCTGCCGTTGTCAAGGAATCAGTGGTGTGGTAGGGGTCTGGCTGGACAGTTGGGTTCTGGATGCAGCCTCACCTGTTGGGGCACTCTTCAGGATCGACTGTTAAAGGTTTTGTCTTGATAGCATTATGTGTCGATCACTGCCAAGCACCTGACATTCTGGGGTTTTGTTTGTTTGTTTGTTTAAGAGAAACTCAAACCTTATAGAGTTTAAGTTACTCGTGGTCACCTACAAATGATGCAGTGATAGGGCTGAGGCTCCAAACCAGGTCTTGGGGGTCGTGGAATGAGTGCCCCTGGTAGATCACACAGGTGTCTGGACCCTCAGCTTAGGATTTTTAGACCCGTTTTCTAGTCCTGGGTTCAGTTTAGTCTCACCAGGGTCCAAGCAGTGAAGCCGAACCAGTAGGAGACATTTTGTATGCTTGTATATGTGCATTTGCATTATTACAAATAGCTGGCTTATGTGGTTGTGGGGGCTGGCTAATGGCACGTCTGGACTCTGGCTGTCGGAAGAGAAGATCGGGGGCCGGCTGGAAGTTGTGACATAGGTTGAGCAGCTGTCCTGCTGGGATTTCTTGGGGGAAGTCTCAGCCTTGCCTTCAAGGACTTTTAGCTGCTTTTATCTGGCCTGCATAGGTTACCTGGGATAATCGTTTAATTTAAACCAATTGATTAGTGGCTTCAATCACATCTATAAAATGGCTTCACGTCAACTCCCAAACCAGTGTTTGAATAACTGGAGGGTTTGATATCCACCAAGGCCATCAAGGTGTGCCTGGGCCAGGGGTGGGGGTGCTGCCGCCCCTGGATGTGTGTGCATTTGTGTGGGGGTGCGTTTTTCTGAGGGTTGCGTCTGACGCTCTCATCAGGCTCTGAGGGGCCCAGGCAGAGGCCATGGCCTGGAAGAATTGTCTCCATGACCATCAGTGCGTCAGTGCTATCCAGCAGACCTCGTGGTGACAGGCGTGTTCTGTATCTGCTCTGTCCAGTACAGTCACTCCTGGCCATATGTGCTGTCGAACCCTTAACGGGGCTGGTGTCTGAGGACTGACTCTATCATGTAAACAGCATGGGCCAGTGGCCACACTGTTGGGCAGCAGAGCTCTAAGGGGCTCATCAGTAAATTTGAATTGGATGTGGTTCTGACCTGTGACAGCTGATGAAAAGGATGCAGGTGGACAAGGACTTGAATACTTCCGAGTTGCCTCCAGAGCTTGCCCTCATCTCCTGTTTAGCTTTTTTCTGTAATCCTCGCCCTGTGCCTGTTCTTCCAGGCTGTCAGTAGTTCCCAGAAAGAGCCTGAGCTGTCAATTCTTACGGGGATTTTGTGCACAATGTTTTCCTCCCCTTTCAGCTGGCATCTATATTGCTTTCAGGGCTATTGCCAGTTGCTAGGTGAAACCTCCTCTCCATTGACGGGCCGCTTGTCATCTGCTCAGTCTTCCCTACTGGGCTGGGAGCTCCTTGAGCAGGAACTGGGCCTGATTCCTCACCAAACCTGCAACCCAGCACAGGTCCTGAAGCCAAAGAGGATCCAGGGAACCTTTGCAGAACAAAGGAGAGAGAGCTGTCTTGGTCTGGACCTGCTCACTGGGAATAAGTAGGAGCCAGGGATGGAGAGATGATGGCCCTGTTCAAGGCTGGAAGCAGGAATGGTGGAAGGCCAGGAAGGCAGGAAACGGGGCTTTGCCTTTGGACAGGATTACCTTCACCAACAGAGCTTCCCTCTGGAACGCTTGTTAAATGGGAATGTTGTTACAGGGGACACCCACAAGTCCCTGGTAGACACTCCAGATGTATCTGATTAAACCTCACACACACCCCATGCCCCAGCCTGCATAACTTAAGCCAAGATAACAGTGACCACCTCTAGTACTTGCTGCTCTGGTACTTGCTGGATGCCATGTTCCCCTGGTTGGGTTGGGTGTGGTGTTGACACCGTGGCAGGGAATCAGGCTGGTGGGGAGAGCACCGCCCAGGGAGTTGGTTGACCTAGGTGCACATCCCAGTTCTGCCACAGCTTGCTGAGATTCGGACAAGTTCAGTCCCTTTTGGGCCCTGTAACTCACAGATTTTTTTTTTTTAATGGGGATGATTTCTCCCCAATTAAAAAAAATTGAGTTTGGGGGAATGATATGAACTAGTAAATAAGATGTATGGCCTGTCTCTGGTCCCACGTTGACAGTCCCTTACTGGGCTGGATGTCATATAGCTCCTTATACTCATGCCTACAAATTAATGTCCCCAACCCAGCCATGCACCTTCCTCACTCACCTCCCAGGTCTTCCCAGTGCTCTCCCAACACTGGAGTTTCCTTAGCTACCAAGGTAGCTCCTAAGCCACGGTCCTCAGATTCCCCCTGCTCTCCATCACCCAGGGCAAGAAGTACAAGCCCCTGGATCTGCGGCCCAAGAAGACACGGGCCATGCGCCGACGGCTCAACAAGCATGAAGAGAACTTGAAGACCAAGAAGCAGCAGCGGAAGGAGCGGCTGTACCCACTGCGGAAGTATGCGGTCAAGGCCTGAGCATTGCAAGGTCAATAAAGCACAAACTGGCTCATGTTGCTTTGCGTTTGCACTTGTTTCGGCTAACCATGCTGGAGAGATGGGCTGATGCGGCCCCGGTGTCTGATGGATTTTGGCAGGCCTGCCTGTAACTGTTTGAATCTGGTATGGGGCGTGACGTGACAGTGCTGGCCTTGAGGATCTGTTGGGTGCTCGGTTACCATTGGGCCTGTGGCATGGAACTGCCCTGGCCGCCCTTTCTGCCAGCCCCCGTTTGCCCTGGGCAGGGAGAGGCAGTGGCGGGAGGTCTAGGAGCCCCGTGTGGTGGTATTGTACAGTAGTGGGCCCTGGGTGATTGGATCATGCGGCGGGGTTGGCGTCTTGTCTATTCAGCAGCTCCAGACACTAAAAGTTTCCCGTCTGGGGTGAAGGCACAGGTGTGGGCCACATCCAGGGCTCCCTGCCAGAAACACGTCGTTGGCCTCTCAGGTTCCAAGTCCTGTCTACCTCCAGCTTCCTGGCACACATTCCATTGTGCCCTTGGGTGCTACAGCCACAGGCCTTACCTTCAGGGTCTCGATGCACTTTCCCGTGTTGCAGTCCCAGATTTTGACCTGGAAATAAAAAGCAGAAAGGCAGGGAGGCCTCACAACACAAGCATTTTTTGAACTCACCTTGTGGGTGAGTCCTAGCCACCATCTTAAGCTCTTAATGTCTGGGTTTTGTTTATGAGGTATATTTAACATACTTGGCCTAATCCCTGATAGAAACATTGAGTGCAGTACAGTCTTTCCCCTGAAGCTGCTGGGAGTCAGGCATGTTGCTAGCATTTGGGCTAGCACAGACCTAAGTGCCAGGCACTGTGTATAGGGTGGCTGACAGCCAGGTCTTACCTTTGGCACTTTCCTATTCAGGGGAAATTGGGATGTGGTTTTTGTTTTTTTGGGGGGGGGCAGTGCTGAGGATTCTTATTCTTATAAGTGGGATGTGGGGGTAGGAGTTTGCCAGAATAGAGGGGCCTGGTAGGGTTACCATTTTGGAGTAGCCAGCACTGGCCAGCCGCCGCCCATCCGGGGAGAACGCTATGCTCTTCACCCAGGTGATGTGGCCCTTGAGCTGGACAAGCAGGCTTCTGGTAGTGGGTTTCCAGATGTGGATGGTCTTATCCCAGGACCCAGATGCCTGGACAGCAGATAGCTCTGTTTGGGGCCTGCATGCTCACTGCACCCCAGAATGGCCCTTGACCCTCCAACTTGTCTTGCAGCCAGCAAGGGGCCAGACCAGAATGCAGGGCAGGGCAGGGCAGCCCAGCTCACCAGGAGGCCTGCTGCTGAGTAGCACAGGCAGCTGATGTTGCCAGTGTGACCCTCCAGCTTCTGGTGGGAGATTGCTGGGGTTTCTGCCCGAAGGTCCCAGATATGAATGGTGGAGTCCCAGGAGCCAGTGGCCTGCAGACAGCTGCTGCCATGAGCACAGACCAACAAGCCCACACCCACCCTCCTGGTTCCTTGGCTGGGCAGGCTCAGAAAGCAGCACCTTGTCACCAAACCCTGAATCATCTTACAAATGAGGGAACTGAGGTGGGGCCTGGGCAGAGGTGGTGTGGCTCACCAGACAGTCTGAGTTGGGTGCGAAGTCACTGCTCTGGACGGAGTCTCGGTGCCCTGCTAAGTGGCGCAGCATCTGGCCAGACTGAAGATGCAAGCCCTGAGCTTTATAGAGCAGCCCAGAAGCCTCCATGCAGGGTTTTAGGCCTCAGATTGGTCATACCCAGGCTCCCCTTTTGGGGCTGCCTGGTTAATGAGGCGTAAGATGGGCTGGGAGACTTTCCTGTGCTTGAAAGGAGAGGGCAGTAAAGGCAGGGGGAACTCAAGCACGCAGTGTGGTGGGGGGTGGCAAGTAGGTAGCTGTAGCCAGTTGCAAGGGGTCTTAAGTGCCAGGTGTAGGCACAGGCAAGGAGGGGTACTGGGAATGACCTTTCTGGAGCCAGTGTGGAGGGTGTATCTCATCAAGATCCCAGGCTCTCTGGCTGCCCCTCCATGATACCTGCACCTCCCAGAGCATCACCCGCTTGTCCCAGCCACCCGATGCCAGCTGCTTGGAGTCGGGACTGAAGCTGACTGTTTCCACACTCCGCTGGTGACCTGCAAAGTGTCACAGTCCGGAAGGGAGCTCAGCCTGACTGCTTGGCTCCAAATCCCATCTACCTTACTCACACACACACACACACACACCCTTTTTTAAAAATTAAATCCTCACCAGAGGAAAACATTCACTGGTTTTAGAGAAACCCATAAACTGGTTACCTTGAGTATGTGCCCCAACTGGGGAGCGGACCCACAGCCTTTTGGTGAGCAGGATGACACTCCAACCGAGCCACCCGACCAGGGCCAGCCCACTCACCCTTTAATATCTGCAGACACTTGGTTTCTGCCACATCCCACAGGCGGATGGTGCAGTCGCAGGAGGTGCTGGCGAAGAGGCGGCCGTCAGGGGAGAAGCGGCAGAACTTCACAGGGCCTGGGGCAGGTGACCAGGGTCGGAGAACAGCACTCCCCGCACCTCTGGCCCTTCCACTCTTGACACCTGCTCATTTCCCCAGTCTCGTGGCCCGCCTCCCTTGTCCTCACTCCCTTCTAACCCTCACCATTCACCCTGGAGTTCCTGGGATACCCAACCTCAATTTGCCCATCCACAAAATCAATACCCAATCAAATGCAGGCGCCGCTCAGAAACTCCTTAACAACCCAGCACAGGTTCGTTGCCTCCCTTGTGTTCACGGGTTTTCCTATTATAGCATTAATCAATATGCCCAGTAATTAACCAGCATTTTTTCCTTGTCTCCTTAATCATAAATTATATCTACTGAGTCCTTTATCGGGTGCTAAGCACTTTGCATTATTTCACCCTATAGGGTAGCAACCACCACCCCCATTCTAAAAAGGAAGCAGGTCCAGAGGGCGACATGACACAATCAGTCAAAATAGTGGGTAGAACGTAGATGAGCCTTAAGGATGTGCTAAGAGAAGTAAGCCAGTCACCAAGAGAAACACTGTGTGATTCCACTTACACAAGGTACCTAGAGTCGCCAGTTCAGGGAGACAGAGCAGAATGGTGTTGCCAGGGGCTGGGGAGGGGGAGGAATGGGGTGTTCAATAGGTAGAGAGTTTCTGTTTTGCAAGATGAGTTCTGGAGACCGGTTGCACAGCCATGTGAACATACGTAACATTACACTTAAAAATGGGTAAGAGTAAATATGTGTACTTTTAAACTTTTTTTTTTAAGTAGGATCTGAGCCCTGGTTGCTGTGGCTCAATGGATTGAGTGCCTGCCTGCGGGTGCAGAGGTTGTGGGTTGGATTCCCAGTCAGGGCACAGGCCTGAGTTGTGGATCAGGTCCTGGTTGGGGGTGTGAGAGGCAGCTAATTGCTGTGTCTCTTGCATATCATGTTTCTCTCCCTCTCTTTCTCCCTCTTTCCCCCTCTCTCTAAAAATAGTATCTTGTTTTTAATTTTTTTTTAAAAAGATGTTATTTTTAGAGGGGAAGGGTGGGAGAAAGGGAGAGGAACATCAGTGTATGGTTGCCCTTCAAATGCCCCCCTACCCAGGACCTGGCCCGCAACCCAAGATGTACCCTAAACTGGAAATCAAATCAATGACCCTCTGGTTCACAGGCCAGCACTCAGTCCACTGAGCTGCACCAGTCATGGCAATAAAATCTCTTTAAAAAGTAGGATCTGAGTCCAGGTCTGCCCGAGTCGGAGGCCCCTGGCCCCAGGGACCACCAGGTCCTGTCTCCTTGCCCAGGCGTTCTTGCACAGATGCCCAGTTCAGATATTGGAGGTCACTATGGTAGCCTCTGCAAAATGCCAGAGCGTGGGCCTGAGCCTCCCCATGTAGGCCGGGGAGCCCCACCTGTGTGGCCACCCAGCCTCCACAGCAGACGCCCACTCTGGGTTTTCCAGCCATAGACACAGCCGTCCTCAGAGGCCGTGAGCAGCGTCTGGCCATCCGGGGAGAAAGCAGAGAAGTTGACCTGGAACAAAGCATGAGTAGTCAGTCCCACTGTGGGGCCAGAAGTCCTTGCCTGTCCATTCTTGACCCCAGGCACCTGGGTCATCCCTAAATACGGCTCCAGGAGCCTGGGGTTGGAGCCATGGCTTCAGGCCTCACTCTACAGCCGTGCCCAGACTCCAGGAACCACTGAGCATTCAGAGCAGAGAGCTCTTCCTGGAGCCCTGTGAAACTGTCACCTGAAGCTCAGCTCTCACTGACACCAGAGGTTGGAGCCTTCTCTAGAACCAGATTCTGAGCCAAGAGTCCATTCCAGAGCTAGAGCCCAGAACCCAGAGCTCATTTTAAAGCCAGAGTCCCAAGAACATTAGAGCCAGCCAAGAGTGTGAGCCCTCTTCTGGCAGCTGAGCTTAGAACCTGGCGCCCATTCGGGAGCTGGAGTTCCACCACGGAGCCGGGGGTCTACAGTCTGGGCAGAGGCTGCTGGCTTCACCTCGCCGCGGTGCCGGCGGAAGAATTTCACTCTCCCCACTGCCAGAGTCCCTAGTGTCCTACTGTTCATGGGCCCGCGGCCAGCCAGCCCCGGGGGTGGCAGTATCCCTAGCCAGGCGCTGGTGGGGCCGCGGGCCGGGACTTAGGGCGGGGGAAAGGGGAAGGGGTAAACTGTTTACTAGCGGTCTCCATGGCAATCGAGGGGGGCACGCAGCCACGTAGCGTCTCTGCGAAGCCAAGCCAAGAGACTGACTGGGAGAGTTCTTAGCTTGTGGGAGGTGGGGCCTCAGCGGGCAGGTGCCTGCTGAGGGGCAAGGCTGTGCGCCCAGTGGCCACGAGAGGGCACACCAGACCCACAGAGCGCAACTGCTCTTCCGCCGCTCCTAGCCGTGCTCAGTGCCAGTCAGTTCGCAAAGAACTCGCAGACCCCTCGGAAACGAGCCTGTTTCCCCATCTGCACAATGGGGAGGACTATCCCGGCCCACCAGCACTCCAGGCTCCAGCCGAGCAGAGAGCCTAGTACCTGGTAGGTAGGTGCCCTAGGACCAAGACCCTTCTCTCTATGAAGCTGAAGAGCTTCCAAGGAGAGGGCCGGAGATGGTGCCCATCTTTGCCCTCCAAGATGTGGGGCAGAGGAAGTGTGTGTGAAGCAGGGGGCACTGAGAGGTGGAGTCACTGCTGTTAACATTCCTAGTAGCACAGACTGTGTCCACTGAGGAGGCGGAGCCTTGGAGAAAGGCCCCAGGGCTGTTGTGATGCTTGTTGGCTAGTTCAGACTGAGACTGTGAAAGGACAGGACTTGGTTTCAATGACCATTTTACAGATTAGGAAACTGAGGCCCCAACATGAGGGGGCACATGTCCAAGGTCACTCAGCCAACAGGAAAGGAACTGGGACTTCATCTCTTGTGTGTATGACTCCGGGGGCCTATGTTGGAACCACCCGCCATGAATCCCAGGGGCTTTGCAGCAGATGCCCAGGTCCGGGACTCTGGCTGTGTCTGGGAAGCTGAGGTCCTGACAGGGAAGCTGTGGCCCTGCCACCCAACACCTCCATGGCAGAGCAGGGGCCAGGACCCAGTTCCCCTCCCTACAGCAGGATGGGGGTGGGACTAAGACACCCTCCACTCCACTGTCGCGTGGATCCCAGAGTCCTTGGGGGTGGGGGTGGGGTGGCTGAGCTTTGGGAGCTTCAAACTTGAGGGTTCCCAGTGGTGACTCACACCCCTCCCCCCAGACCTCCTTGCCAGAAGCTTCTCACGAGATCCCCTGAACTCCAGCTCTATTTTAGGTTCCAGACAGTCTGGCGGGAGAGGGGGTGACAATGGTGGCTTTGAGGCAGCCCCACCCCCATTCTAAGTCCCAGAGGTCCGTGCATTGACTCCTCAGGGACCCATCTGAGTTAGGCCTGCCAGGCCACCCCTCACCCCGACACGGGTCCCAGACAGAGTGCTTCCACAACTGGCTTCCCAGGCCTCCTCTCCCACTCTCCGCTCAAGTGCCCCCAGCCCACTCCCCACCTGGCATTTCTTCACCCACCTGGTCGTTCCCACTACCTGGAGAATGCAGCCCATCGCTCCCAGAGCGCTCTAGGCAGACCTTGTCCTCCAGGCCCAGCAACCGCTCAGCCAGCAGCAGTTGAAACATTTCTTCTCAACCCAGGAATCTCTGGTCGGAACCACTCACCGTGAATTCCAGGGGTCTCAGGGGCTGGAGCCTCATGCCCACCTCTCCCATCTCATCCTGCCACTGTCCCCTGCTCCCATCTTGCTCCCTGAACTCAGCCACAAGGATGTTTTCTTTAATTCCTCCATCCTGGTCGGGAGGAATGTTTTCTTTAATTCCTCCATCCTTCACACATGGGGTTCCCCACCGTCTTGGCCTGTGCTTGCCTTCTGACCTGGTTCAAATAACAGCCCCTCCCCACCCCAGACTAAGTCAGAGCCCCTGCCCAAGATGGAACGTTGGAACCACAGGCTAGGATTAAACTCAGGTTCTAGCGATGACCAGCTCTGCAGCCTTGACCAGGCCACCTGATCATGCAGTGTCTCGGTGTCCTCGTCTGTAAAATAGGGGTGCTCACAATGGCTGCCCCCTGAGGAGTCAGTGAGGCGGAGCCTGTCAATGTCACCTTGGGTGCAGTGAGTGCTCCGAGCAGGCTAGAGCTGCGACATCCCTCTTAATCCCTTTAGTTTAGAGCCCAGACACACAGGCCCTTTGCCAGGCTCCCCTACGGGGCCGGGGCCCAGGTACACCTCATGGGAGGGCCTGTCGACCAGGGGCTGTCAGCAAATGAGCTGGGGGCCTGGCGCTATGGGACATGGGTTCGAGTCTCACCTCTATGACTTTCTAGATGCGTGACCTGTATGAGGCAAGTCATTTCCTCTCTCTGAATCTCCAGTTTTCTCTTTAAAATGGCCATTATCCATGGCAGTTTCAGAGGGAACCAAGGAACCTGCAAAGGCAGCTGCTTTGAGGAAATAAAGAGAACAAAGCTGGTCCCAGGACCATGGGTCACCTTCAGCAGAGGAAGTGAGAGTGGGACCCCCTCCCCAGATAATCTGGGCTGCGGGAGGGGGGAATGTGGCAGGCTTCCTGAGAAGGAAAAGACAGTCAGAGGGGCACCCTGCAGGGGCAGTCTGTGCTGGGCAGGAGGCCCTCCACACCCCGTGAGGTGTACCTGGGCCCTCCTATCTGGCTCGCACCCCCCTCTCCTGCCCCCTTCCTCACTCTTCCCTTCTTTGTCCCCCCCCCCCTTCCCCATTCTGGGCAGTTGAGCAGATTATGCAGTGCCAGGGCCAGGACACACTTCCCAGGAAGCAGAGAAAGCTGCTTTGCAGCAAGAGAGCCGGCAGAGAGGAGAGAGGTGCAGAGTCCGACTGCCCAGTTTCTGCCCACAATTCAGCTCCCAGCTCCAGTCCTTGACGCTGCCGTCCTAAAACATGCCTGTTTCTTAAAATCCACCCCCCACCTTTTTTTTTTTTTTTTGGCTGAGCAATCCCCAATATGGTTTTGGTTACTTGCCACCCAAAAGGCTTTGTCTAAAACATCTCTGATTTCCAGAGCTGGACCCTTAGCATTATGCCTTTGGGACTTCCTTTCTGGGATTCCCCTGCACACTGGGGTCCTAGCTCCCCAGGGGACCAGTATCCTCAGGTCTCAGAGCTTTCCCCTCCACCTGGCCCATCAGTATTGGGATGCACTGTAATGTCACCGTGCCTCCTACAGCAGAGAGGCTAGAACCAGAAACGTGCTCTCTGTATGGCCCAAGAAGGGCCAAGCTGACTGACGCTGTCATTTACAGTTTTCTGGACGCTCAGTCTCTAGTAATGCCACCCACATTACAAGAGGCATTCCGGTTTTCAACAGTTACATTATTCTGGTGACTCACTGAATTTGCAGTGAGAGCCTTTTCCCATGAACTACTGTCTGGCACACTCTCTCTCCCCCTATCTGGTAATTGCACAATGAGTTTTTTGGAAACACAGGCAAGACCCTACATTATGCTGGTTAAATGTCATCTTCTTGGCTCTCATCCAGCCGTCTGGTCTTGAAAGCGTGAGTCCAGCCTCTGTTGCACAAAGCATTGATTCTGCACTGTGGCGGCTGCGAATCCGATGAGCAGGCCTTCTGTGTTCTTCCATCCAAATTGTAAAAACGATGATCCATGGGACAAGGGTGAGCACAGAGCCCTGTGGTCTGTCACTAGAGACTGCCAGTTATTCTCACGTTTTTTTGCACCCTTCCCCACCCATCAGGATCACAGACTAACCGTGGGTGAGGCAGGAGAGTGATGAACTTTTACCGCAAGTAAGGCTCTTTGGTTGCAAACAGTAGGGGCCTTCCGTGGCCAAAAGGGGGTTCAGGGTCCTTGGTGAGCTTGACATTGGCCTAGTGAGTGGAGAGCTAGGCATTGTTATTGGCAGTCCTGGTAAGAGCTGGGCTTCTACTCCCACCTGCAGCCCCCTCTGTTAATCACTCACGGGTCCCCAGGTCCGTTGAAAACCTGCCGTGCACCTATGGGTCCTGGAGCCCGACTGCTGCTTTCCAGTCTGGCTCCACCGCCTACCAGCTACCTGCTCTGTGCTTCCTTTCCTTTGTCCTCAGTGAAGGCAGTGACTTGCTGTCAGGGTTTGCCTTGGGAAAGGAGTGACTGTAGGCAAAGCGTCTGGCACAGAGTCAGGACTCTGTGCTGGCCAGCTGCATCATCAAAGTGTCATTACGTGGTGGGTCCACATTTTCCCACTCAGCCCCAAAGATACGAAGCACTGGTAGCTGTATCTGGACTGGGCACGGTTGCCAGGTTATTAGAGGTGAGAGGCAAGGGCAACCAGGTTCGATTTCTGGGACCCTATCGGTACTTCTGGTCGCCACTTGTTTTCTAAGCACTCAAACTGCTGCCGAGTGACCTGTGCCAACCTTGCTGGGCAGTCAGTGTCAGGCCAGCCAGCCTGTGACGGCTGGGTTCACACTTTCTAGAAGCCTGGGACTCTGGTGCTTTCTTCTCTCCTGGCTGCTGGGCCACTGTTACGGTGTCAGAGTCCCGCCTTCCCTTCTGGCTCTCTTGGGGTACAATTTGCTAGACCTAGAAACTCGGTTTTATTTATTTACCTTATTATATTTTTAGCATGAAAGACTCTTTTTTTGTTTGGGTAGCAAAGTGACTAGACGCCAGAAGAAACCCAAGAAGCTCAGGGGGCCTGACCTCCACCCACTCTCCTCAGCGTGGGCTCGTGGCCCCATGCCTGTGTTCCAAACTCTCTGGTTCGTGGGCCCAAGCCCACAGGTCCCTCGGGCCTCTCCCACGTGACTCTCACAGAGGAGAAATCTCTGAAGCCTGGGACAAGCACCACAGAACGCACACCCTCCTGATGCCAGGCCCAGGTTAGGGTGCCATCCGACCCCACACCAGCCTCCCCCCGCCTCTTCCTCCCTCCACTCCTGCTGCCTGCCTTCCGCTTAGACCTCACCCTCTTGCTCCTGCCCAGTGTTGCCCCTCCACCTCTCTGGGCCTGCCACCGACGCTCTGGGGGGGGGGGCCTGAGAGGGCTTGGAGAAGAGAAACAGAACCTTGGGACCGTCGGGG